TTTCAATGTACTTCAAACCAAAGACTAAGTATTTTTTCAAGGTGTCTTTAGAAAAAGTAATTGAAATGGCGGACTAATCCACCTTACACCAATTATCAAAACTAAAATGTTCAATTATAACACATGAAGGAGGACTAGTCCGCCTCATTCAATGTAACCTCAACCAAAGACGTAATATTTCTCAATTAATCTTTAGAAAATGTTAACTCAAAAGGCGGACTAATCCACCTTTATACATACAATAAATAAAAAACTAAAAACTATAAAAACAAAAAAGGAGGATTAGTCCGCCTTTTTCAATCTAAGTCAAAACAAATACTTTGCATTTTTCAAACATAAACTGATTAGGACAGACTAATCCAACTTTATACAATAACCAAAAACTGAAACAACTCAATATAAAACATGAAGGAGGATTAGTCCGCCTTTTTCAATTTAACTCTATAACCAAAACTGAACAACTCAATTATCAAACATGAAGGAGGATTAGTCCGCCTTTTTTAGTGAAACTCAAAATAAAGATCAAGAGTCCCTTTAGAAATCATTATTAAAATGGCGGACTTAATCCACCTTTACACAATTATCAAAAACTAAAAATGTTCAATTTTAACACATGAAGGAGGACTAGCCCGCCTCATTCAATGTAACCTCAACCAAAGAACGTAATATTTCTCCAATTAATCTTAGAAAATGTTAACTCAAAAGGCGGACTAATCCACCCTTTATACATACAATAAGTAAAAAACTAAAAACTATAAAAACAAAAAGGAGGATTAGTCCGCCTTTTTCAATCTAAGTCAAAACAAATACTTTGCATTTTTCAAACATAAACTGATAGGACAGACTAATCCAACTTTATACAATAACCAAAACTAAACAACTCAATTATAAAACATGAAGGAGGATTAGTCCGCCTTTTTCAATGAAATTTAAAAATAAAGATCAAGAGTCTTTAGAAATCATTTACTGGAATGGGACGGGGGACTATAATCAAACCCCCTTTTTAATCAAACTAAAAAAAAAACGCAAGGAGATTAGTCCGCCTTTTTCAATTAAACTCCAATAACTAAAACTGAACAACTCAATTATCAAACATGAAGGAGGATTAGTCCGCCTTCTCCAATTAAACTTTATAACCCAAACTGAACAACTTCAATTATCAAATATGAAGGCGGATTAGTCCGCTTTTTCAGTGAAACTCAAAAATAAAGATCAAAAGTCTTTAGAAATCATTAACTGAAATGACGGACTAATCCACCTTTATACAATAATCAAAAACAAAAATAAACTCAATAAGAAAACATGAAGGAGGATTAGTCCACCTTTTTCAGTGAAACTCAAAATAAACATCAATGAGTCTTTAGAAATCATTCACTGAAATGACAGACTAATTCACCTTCATACAATTATCAAAAAACAAAATTTAATTAAAAAGCATGAAGAGGATAGTCCGCCTTTTTCAGTGAAACTCAAGATAAAGATCAAGGAGTCTACAGAAAACCATTAAATGAAATGACACAGCCACATTTATACAATAATCAAACAAAAAAAATTCATTGTAAACTTGAAGAAGGATTAGTCGCCTTTTTCAGTTAACTCAAGCTAGAGATTAAGGAGTCTTAAGAAAATGTTCACTGAAATGACTGACTTATCCACCTTAAAACAATTATAAAAAAATAAACAGTTTAATTATGCATTTATGTATTTTTTCAATGTGTCTTTTGAAAACGTTAACTAAAATGACGGACTAGTCAACCTTTTTTACCATATTTAAAAACTAACAAGTTCAATTACGAAATAAAAAGGAGACTAGTCACTCAAATCAAATACTATTCATTTTATTTAAGGAGTCTTCAGAAAAAAATAACTGAAATGACGGACTAATTCACCTTCTAAACAATAATCAAAACTGAACATTTAAATTATTAAACAAAATGGAGGATTAGTTTCGCTTTTTGCAGTCAAAACTCAAATCAAATACTAATCTATTTTTTTCAATATAAAAACATAACTTAAATGACAGACTAATCCACTTTATTTACGAAACGAAAAGGAGCACTAGTCTGCCTTATTTAAAAAAACTCAAACTAAAGATCAAGGAGTCTTTAGAAATAAAATGACGGACCAATCCACCTTCATAAAAATAATCAAATGCAAACAGTTAAATTATTTGAAAAGGAAGACTAGTCCGCCTCTTTTAATCTAATATTTTTCTTGACATTTCGGTATTTCTGTCATTTCAAATTCTACATTAGTGTCACCACTATGTTGATTCACGTGATTATAACTATTACTATTTTCTGTAGAGATATTACATGTAAAAGTCTCTCCCTGACTGTCCTATCGTGCGTGGCTGACTGAGCAACAGTATTGTTATATGAAGATTGATCATCTTACTGTATATGCACGGAGTTTCTGTGACTCTGATTGAAAACGTGCTGAAACAGAATTTTAACGTGATCTCTTGTTTAACGCTTCTTCCAATGGGGAATTTGCATTATTCTTATTTCTCACAGGTGTCTGTTCACGTGAATCGCAATTCATTAACGAAGCGAATCTATTTGGGGTTGCAAAGTTGATATTTCCCCAGGGGTTGTTGTTCGAATTTGGTATTTGCCCGATGATTTGTGATATAATTATATGTCTTGAACTAAAAACAACTAGAACTATCATTAAATGTGATTAATAACCCGCAAGACTTCTTCGGAAATGAGAAAGTTACTAGTAACAAAAAACCTTGTAAAACTTAAGATATAGTTATGGTTATATAGGGTTAACGCACGTTTTTCCGTGTTATAACGTCTGCAGAGTCCTTAGGAACGGTTGGTGCCCGAGCCCGGTAGGACGAGGGCTCCAACAGTTCCGAGGGACTCTGCAGACTTTATAACACGAAACAAATGTGCGTTGACGCTATTATAGCATACAATTTTAAAACAGATTCACGATGTCTATCTAATACAAAACACATACATTAATCCTTGTGCTCGGACGGTATTTATCCAATTCTACATTTTTTACGTATGCGTTTTATTTTTCCGGGCCCAACATCTTGGGGAAATATAAGTATGCTCAGAACCGAACGGAATTTCGGATTTTAATTGTTTTAACAAAGCTTAGCATGGCATATTTATATAATTATTAACTCAAGAAAAAAAAACAACATTAAATTACTCTACCAAAGACAAAACACGACCCTCAGAAATTCCTAGAAATATTTCAGATTGACGGTAGGACATCAGAATCGTTTTTTTTTTCAAGCACACACGTTTATAAAAAAAATCAGGCACTAAACATTATTTTCTGAAAGAAGTATAAAGAGCATTTGTCAATATAAACATCAATAAAACAACATTTTCTCATATTCATTTTGTGTTATCTTGTTTTGTAAGTTAATCGGAGGGTTAAACTGAATGGCAAACATTTGTTTACATTGACAGCGGTCCGTTTCTTAGAAAGGGCGACAACCAAGATTAGCGACGATGTCTATACGCCATATTTCCGGCATAGTTACTTGAATGCTGCTCGCCGTCCTTATGCGATAGAGGCCCTTGAATCAATAATTTCAATATAACAAGAGAGCATGACTCTTTGGCAAACAAGGCCAACTCGTCATTTTTGTTTGTTTACTGGGCCCTGTATGTATTACGCATAGGTAAGGCCGGGCTATAACAAGAACGCGTGACTATGTTAACACATGGTTCCGGTCCCGTTATAACATGGGCAAAACAGGGGAAAATAGCCGATTTTATGCTATAATTACCATTAATTTTCAAGTAATGCACTGGACAATAAAAAGTAACAAAGGGCAAAAACTCTTAAATGAGTCAAGATGCAGTCATGGTTCCTGTGCACTGCACTTCCTCTCAATGTGCTTGATCATTGAATGAAGCTGTTTTGAATTCCAACTATTAGTCTCCATCTATGCTTCGGACAAAAAAAAAACAATTGAAAAGTAACAAAGGGTAATAACTCTGTAATTACTTCAGATAGAGATATGGTTCTTAAGCATTGCACTTCCGCTTATTGTGCTTGAACATTGTATGAAGCTGTTTTGAATTCCAACCAGTAGTTTTCAGGTTATGCTCCAGATAATAAAAATTTACAAAGGGCAGTAACTCTGTAATAAGTCGAGATAGAGTTATGGTTCTTATGCACTGCACCTTCTCTTAATGTCTTTAGACCCTTGTATGAAGTTACATCGAATTCCAACCATTAGTCTTCAAATCCTGCTTTGGACAAAAAAGCAATGGAAAAGTAACAAAGGGCAATAACTCTGTAATAACTTTAGATAGAGTTATGGTTCTTGGGCATTGCACTTTCCCTGAATGTGCTTGACCATTGTATGAAATTGTTTTGAATTCCAACCAGTAGTTTTCAAGTTATGCTCTGGACAAGGAAAAGTAAGAAATGGCAATAACTCTGTAATAAGGGAAGATGGAGTTATGGTTCTTATGCACTGCACTTTTTCTCAATAAGCTTGACCATTGTATGAATTTGTATTGAATTCCAACTTTTAGTCTCCAAGTTCTGCTCCGGACAAGGAAAATGCAACGGACCGCTGAACTGACCGACCGACTGACCAACCGACCGACCGACCACCGGATGACTTCTATATGCCCCCACAAAACTTCGTTTAGGAGTTATAATAAGATAATTAGGTTAGGGTCTGACATTTGTGGACACTTTTCCCATTGGAATGGGAAAAGATTTTTTTTTTAAATCACTATTTCTTATCCAAATATGGATTACTAGTATGTCATTTGTAAAAGGTTAACACTAAATAGTTTCGGCCATTGATGATTGTATAAAATAGAGGTTTGTGTTAACACGAAATAGTTTAAGGGCCTTGAATGAAAAGGAAAATGGTTCGCGCAAACAAATTCGGAATGAAATATTATTTAAACATTTGAAATTTTGTAAACATTCTTTGTGACGAAATGCCTTTAAAAAAAAAGGCTTTTAAAATGTATATTAACCTGAATTACAATTCCTGTTTACAGAAAGACAGGAAAAGCAGAGCATGTGGCCACCAGGGCCATACGCAATACCAATGTCCATATATGGCTGCCCAGAGTCACAATCGCGAGGATGGTTGAAAAGCTATTTGATTGCCAATATGACAAACTATAATTTTGATAATGCGGTTCTTGACAAATTCTTTGGTGAATACCGTATCTCGCAAATCAATTCGGGAGAAGCAATTATGATACTTCGTTTTTGTGTAAAGTTCCGAAATGAGGCCATGCTTGATAAAGGACAATGGATTCCAGGAAATTACAGCATTTATAAAATCGGCGTATCATGTCCCTCAGGTATATTTCATTTCATTTTTTGATATTTGATGAATTTCTGATTGAATTCGTGTTAATCAAATCCGGAGTGTTCAATATCACTTACTTATTTCTTAGTGTCTGCAAGTTTCACTTTATTATTTTCGTCACTTTGCTTTTCGACGTTTTATCTTTACATCACTTCCTTTATTATCATTGATGTGAAAGATATTTGGCGATGATTTTAAAAATATAAAAAGCCCATACTGATCTTTGTATCACTATATTTTTCAGACTTTCAAGAATCTAGTATACAACTGCCTACATTTGAATTTATACCAGATGGTGTTGTTCCAAATATAACAGTATCTGAAGAAGGTATGTATATTTAAAATTAAAAAATGAATATGTAATGGATGTTTGTTTGTGTGTTGTAAGATATATTTTTATTTCATCGTGTGAGTTTGAAAACACTATTGACACAAGTGGCGTGACTGCACGTGAGAATAATGTTTTAGAAGTTCACGAGAGGAAATCAAGATACAGAATCAAATTTTCGTTTTTTATGCTTTGATAAAAAATTATATGAAATTTCCTCAATAATAATTTGTATAATTAAATCAGTTTTGCCCACTCAATGCCTCATTTTCTGGCGAAATTCCCACGAATATAGGAAGTCTTGAGGTGAAAAATAGATTCATAAATCAAAGTTAAATAGCGATGATATTATTTATTTTAAAGAAAAAAATGCATGATCCCTTGTTTAAATCATTTATACATATAACTAGAAAATTCAGTTTCATCCTACCAATCTAAATCTTGTTTTATATCCACTTATATAACGGAGTGGATATTATATTTGTCCCTATAGGTAAGGTACCATATGGTGAAAATCTTTAAAAAGTAGTCCCTTCATTGAAAAGTTTGAAATTATAGTTCGATAATTTTTAAAGATAATTCGGTAATCCACAAACAAGCATAACATATAAATGTATAATTATTTATTTCACGGATTTTCTATACACATAAGCAGACAATTAAGAGTTCGATGGGCTGAATAGTTTGTTGACTATATTATTGATGTTGTTATTCATTCGTATTACATTGCATCACTTCAATTACATGTTTAAATAATAAGCAATTTTGCTGAAATGTCGTCGATGTCTTCAAGTACTGATATTGTTCAATCATTTAAATCGGTTATCTAGTCTTTGCTTATTTGCCGTTTCATTTGCTTTCGTTGTATGTGTGTACATATTACTAATGTAAAGATTACATACAAGAAAAGTAAAGAATATAACGTTCCATTGAAGGCCATTCAGAAGAGTTTTTGACATTATCGTTGTGTAAAAGAACGACTTATACGGAAACAGGAGATTATTATGCAAACGTGTCATTCAAAATGTTGGAAACTGACTTCATGCTTGAAAAGGCAAGAGCTTTCTCATTTTATTGTATCCGAAATATTTAAAAAAAAATATGTTGGGTATATGCATTGCTATTTAGATATAACAGTATACAGTTTAATAAATACATGTCAAAATGATGTATATAAAGTTAGTTCCCTATTCCTTATTCCTTTTTCGAATAAGGAATCAGTCCCTTATTTCTTTTTCGAATAAGGAATAGGGAACTAGTTCCTGATTCCTTATTCAAATCTAAATCTGGAAAAGCAGAATTAGTTTTTATATAAGATAAAATAATGGTTGATCAGAAAACTAGAACGCTTCTTTCTTTTATTAAACCGGAGAAAATTGCACAAGTCAAACATCATAATCATAGAAAAAAGCATCCGAATCGTCATATTTTTATGCCCCGCCATAAAATGGCTGGGGCATATAGTGTTACCCTTTTCCGTACATATTTACTCAAATTTAACATAAGACATAAGTCATAAGAATACACTTTGCAAAGAGTCAGAAATTTTTAGTTTCCGTTCATTATCTCCCCAATGGTTGTACACATTTAACTCAAATTTGACATATAGATAAATCTTAGGAATTAACAGTTCAAGTTTGAATTCGGCCATGGTTAAATGATTTTGGACAAAATTATCTCCCTTGAAAATTTGAATTTTCAGTGTCAGCACTCATATTTTGTGGAAATGTATGTAGTCATTACTTTGGCTACACATATGAAATATGCAATTTACAACAGGTTAACACTGAATAGTGTCAGTGCCTTGAACTTTGTATAAAAAAATAAAAATGGTTTGTGTTAACATTGAATAGTTTTAAGGGATAAATTTTGAACTTAAAATGAAAAAAAATAACAACAAAAAAAACAATCAAAACAAATTTGGAACTTAATATTATAACATCTGAAATGTGGGTGCACGCGGGGGCATCCGTGGCGTGATGAGACATTTCTAGTTAAACAATTCAAGTCGATCCATGAATAATGAACCCGTTCCTTAAATCTCATAAAAAGAAATTGCATAAAGCATCTGCATAACAATATTTTGAAAATATGTCAGTTCCTTATTCAATAAAAATATCCGAATAAGGAACAGAAGAAGATACGCCAGTAGAGACAGCAGTTGCAGTTCTTTCTGATATATCTGCATAAGAATTGCAAGGATCAATCATTTAAATCATTATATAAAGCATCTGCATAAAATACTTTGAAAAAAAAATGTTAAAGTCGAATAAGAAATAGGGAACCAGTTCCTTATTCTTTATTCAATCGCAAATAAGAAACAAAAAAGTACGTAAAGAAAGTCATCAATTGAAGTAACTTGTTTTGTTTTTTTGATAAACCTGCATTATAATTGCAAGGATCAATCATTAAAATCATTGCATAAAGCATATGCATAAAATATGTTGAATAAAAAGTTCAAGTTCATTCGACTCTGAATAAGGAACAGAAATATATAAGTTTAAAACAGACACCAGTTGCAGAGATTTTTGATAAATCTGCATTAGAATTGCAAGGATAAATCATTATAATCATTTCAAAAAGCATCTGCATAACAATTTTTTAAAAGAAATGTTAAAGTTGAATAAGGAATAGGGAAGCAGTTCCTTATTCCTAATTCAACTCCGAATAAGGAACTCAAGAAAATACGTGAAGAAAGGCATCAGTTGCAGATATTTTTGATAAATCTGCATTAGAATGGCAAGGATCAATCATTAAAATCTTTAAATAATGCATTTGCATAAATTAGTTTGAAATAAATGTTACGGTCGAATAAGGAATAGGGAACCAGTTCCATATTCCTTATTCAATTCCGAATAAGAAACAAAAGAACATACGTAAAGAAAGACATCAGTTGCAGTTATTTTCGATAAACCTTCTTTAGAATTGCAAAGGATCATTCATTAAAATCGTTGCATAAATATCCGCATAAAACTATCTTGAAAAAAAAAATGTTCTAATCAAATAAGGAATAAGGAACCAGCTCCTTTTTCCTTATTTAACACCGAATAAGGAACATAAGTACATACACAAAAAAATGACACCTCTTGCGATTATTTCTAATAAATCTGCATAAGATATGCATGGACCAATCATTTGAATCATTGCATAAAGCATTTGCATACAACTATTTGGAAAACTGTTCAAGTCAAATAAGGAACATAATATACACAAAGAATAGCACCAGTTGCAATTATTGTTGAATAAGGAATAAGGAGCTGGTTCCCGTATTCTTATTGGACTTTAACATTTCTTTTAAAATATTCTTATGCAGATGCTTTATGAAATGATTATGAGTTATTCTTGCAATTCAAATGCAGATTTATCAAAAATAACTGCAACCGATGTCTTTCTTAACGTATTTACTTCGGTTCCTTATTCAGAGTCGAATTAACTTGAACATTTTTTTTTTCAAAATATGTTGATGCAGGTGCTTTATGACAGAATTTTAATGATTGATACTTGCAATTATTATGCATGTTTATAAAAAAATAACTAAAACTGAATCCGATGTCTTTCTTTGCGTATTTACATCTGTTCCTTATTTGGAGTCGAATGAAGTTCCGTTTTTTTTTTTCAAAATATTTTATGCGGATGCTTTATGCAATGATTTAAATGATTGATACAGGTTTATTAAAAATAACCGCAACTGATGTGTTTCTTAACGTATTTTCTTTTGAACTTCAATCGGAGTTGAATAAGGAATAAGGAATTCGACTTTGACATTTCTTTCAAAATATTTTTATGCAGATGCTTTATGAAATGATTTTGATGATTGAGTTCTGCAATTTTCAACAGGTTTATGAAAGAAAGAACCGTTTTCTGACCAACAATAGTTTCATCTTATATAAATACTAATTCTGCTGTTCCTTATTTAGAATTGAATAAGGAATAAGGAACTAGCTTCCTATTTCTTATTCGAAAAAGGAATTAGGAACTGATTCGTTATTCGAAAAAGGAATAATGTATAGTGAACTAACTTTATGTACATGTCGAAATGTAATCTTATTCACATTTAACATCGACTGGCAATTAGCACGTGTATATACAAAATATAATTTGTAAAATACAAAAGTTTTATCATGTATTTAATAAATTAAATGTCTAATTAGAACCATGAATATATAATTATGTTTTTTTCATTTTCAAGGAACTTTCGTCATATTTCTAAAATTAGCCAAAAAGTGGATTGCTGTTGGTGTCAGTCTTATAAAATAAATGCCATCTCATTTCTCGAAAGTCTGTTGGCAGGAAAGGCTCAGTTGTAAATTCCGTATTTTGTGCAATCCTGAACCCTTTACCTCATATATACGCGAAACAACACACTTTCACCCCTCCCCCCCCCCCCCCCCAATTAAAAAGGTTATCAAAATGTTAAGAACTTTTAGTATTTTGCATAATAGAAAACGTGACAAAGAATACTTTTTCAATATATAGCGGAATAAAACGTCATGACAAACAGACCCAAATAGTGAACAAAATGTTCTGTTTGGGCCCCACACACATGTTTCCTTTTGTGAAATTTTGATAAAAATGTAAGCACTTTTTTCGGTGCCACCTCTCATCCAAAAGGTACATCAGGGGGTTGTCAGTAGGGGTGTGTGTCCCGTTCTGTTTAGGGGTTTGGAAGGGGCGGCAGTCCCCCTCATCGGCAAGAAAATTTTGGACATGTGAGAGGCTAGAAATTACCCAAGGTCGATCATTAGGTAACGTGTAACCAACGCTGAAAAGCCTTTGACTCTATCTGAATTCTAAAGAAGTTGCAGCACTTTGATATCAATTTTGATGGAAAAAAGTTAACGCAAAATAGTGATTTTTGGCAATTTAGAGATGTCCCATCGTTGCCATTGTAACCGGAAATTTAAGACTGAGCATGTTGTTACAAAGGCAATTGTCCAGTCAACATTTGTGCCAAGTTTGATTAGTATTTAAAAAGTTTTTATTGTTTTATAGCAATTCGGACTTGTAACGGGAGACTTTTCAATGAAAACAGCCTTTTTTCACAAAATGTTCATGCAGTAATGGGTTAATTAAATGGCTTATTGCACATGTACATATAATAAAATAACATTGGTATTAGTTTCTAGTTCTTCTTAATCATTACAGGATCCAGATACAAGTTGCTCCCAATTCGACATGTCAACAGTGTCTCAGAAATTAACATACTGTTTTTATAAACCAAAAGGTATGTTTTTAGTGGTATTTTGAACAAAGAAATATATATGCATTTATATGTTCACGTACATTCATGTTTTACATTCCCTTAATTGGTTATATCTTAAATACTAGATGACGAGATGGTTTGTTTTTTCCAGTTTACAATTACGTTTATTACGTTTTTTTAAAGCATATCTTATTTTAGATAATTACACCCTTAGATTGTTTAAAAAACTTGTTTACCTTAATCGAAAAAAAAATTCTATGTCTTTGATGTGTTAAGGTCCACCATAACTAAGAATAATATATAACTATAATAATATTAAAATATAAACAACTATTTAAGCATTTTATGTACGTTGTGTAAAATGTGTGCTTTGTGAATAATAAGGAAAAATGATACATTTTGCCATTATGTTTTAAACGGATTAAAATATGATCTTCATGTGCCGTTATTTTAAAAAAATAATATGTTTCTGCAATAAATGTGCAAATGTTAATGGTGTTTTTCTTTGTTTGTTTAATTGATTTTTGTTTCAGTTACCAACATTGATTATGAATCGGCAACAGGTATGGCTTGTTTACAATTCTATTATCTTCTATTAAGTACCTACAGTACACTTTTCCATTTTCAATTAATCCCAACATCAAACTATAATTAAAAATAATTTTGTAAACATGTCGCCTTTCTTTATTTTGATTTTGTTTAACAATTAATAAACAGCTTGTGACCGTCTGATCAAATCCAGATATGTACTATCCGCTGTTCAGTCAGTATATTTGACAGTTTCTCTAAAGTAATAATTCATTTTGCCTAGATTGTAACACGGACAAGTCCATTTTAATGTATTTGGAGGGGTTAAACATCTGCAATCATGTTAATTATTAATTAAAATCAATCTCATTTATATATGGTTGTAATGTACTTGTTATTCTACTCTCTAAATAAAATGTATCCGTTATTACAAAATACGACATAAACGTTAATATAAAATAAATTATGTGCACAACGTTTAACGACAAGTTATCGCATGGTTTGTATTATTTCTTTGTTCTTTCTAACCCATTATACTCAGTAAACTTCTATGAACATTTGAAAACGGTATTGATATACAGATGTGCAAGTTTTTTAATTGATTCATACAGGAAAGAAACTCAACTAATATATAACAGTTGAGGTTTTTTTCGCACGCACCTTGTCTATATCAGTGTTTTTTTACAATTAGGCATCGGTACCAACATTCTGAAAAATGTAAATAAAGATAATCAATGAATTGAAATTTATTCTTATTAATACAGCTGCTTAAATGAAAAGGTACATCCTCTGAATGAATTAATTCCACTTGAAAAGTACTTAAATCTTGAACCAACATTACTTTCTGCACAAAGTGTTAAATATCCGTCTCTAACATTTGACGTCTTTAAATTTTCAAGAGTTGCATACCTTGTTTTATTCTTTTTTCTTTCTTCTTTTTTGGAGGCAGCGAAAACACTTTAAAACAACTGTCTTATCATAAAAAAGATGTAAGTTAGTTTACGACAGCATCTAATTTAGATGGTATTATTCATTTTATCGGGGGTTTTCATGTGAAACAAACGTAAAAGGGCACAATAGAGAGAAGTGCACATGCTTTTTTGCAAATTTCTTATACGAATTTGCGATTAAACAGTTAAACAATATGAAACTCGTTAGTGAATGGGTATAACACTGGCTGGGGCGGCGACATTTTGGGATGTTTCTGCAAAAATCGTCTCAGCCTTAGCAGAAACATCCAACAACTTCGCCCGAGCCAGTGTTATATCCTGGTAACTAACTGATTCATTACTATAACTATAACTATAACAAAAAAATCAAGTTCGTTATACTAGTTTAAGTGATAAAGAATCGTATCCATTCTTAAAGAAATAATTATCTTATTAAGCTGTTATACATTTGAGTTTTCATTGTGTTTTGTTTATAAATTTCAGAGTTAACTCTCAATCAGCGAAATCTCTCGCCCTTATTTGTAGGAGGTAGGATTATTTAACATCATGTCTTTAAGACCTACAGGACACGAATTTGCAAACGTTATATAATCAAGCAGCAGGCGTAATAGCATATAAATGTATGACTTACCTGTGTTGTTATTCAAATAGGAGTATGTGTCTTAGAATTAATATTTACGAAATAATTACAAGCTTTTACAGTATGTATTCCTAGTTTAGACGACGTTTTTCGTACTCAAATTTGTACGAGCCTAGGCTATGAAAAATGAATGCGAAAGTGAATATCATTTTATCATTTTAAATATTGTTTTGTTCTAATTTAGAGACGACAAAGTTTTGGTTTTATTTTGACTGTCAGCACTCACTTGAGGTCGTAATGATTGAAACTAAGTCTTCATTTTCAGTAAGTATGTCGGTATCATTTAATTCATATAATCCTTATTATAACCAAATCTGCAGAGCACTTACAAACTCTCTGGACATTTGTAAAGTCTGATTAGGCAACTTCCGAATTCATAATAGTTCTAATATTGATGACGGACTGTTTTAAAATATACATGAAACAAATTCATTTATTTCAAATGAATTGACCTCGTAATTTAAGGAGAAAATTTATACCTTTTTCATTCGAAGCAATAATTTGTGTAGCATTTTACTTTTTTTACTCACAAAATTCTTAGTTTATACAATTTTATATTTGAGGAATTATTACTGTTAATAATGTTTGCCAGATAACTTCTACAATTCAATGATATCATTATCAGGACAAATCATGTAAAGATATTAAGCAAGTAATTATGCCACTGTAATCAACCATTCAATACCATATACTTGTATACTCATACGTTTTGTTCTGAGCTGTTTGAGATCAAATACGGGTTACCTTAAACAATAATCAAGTCATTTGGCAGCATTGAAAATAACGCAATACAAAACTACATGAATATCAATTTATAGTGTTTATTATATGATTTTAAAGTTACTCGATTACATATGCTCAAACTTGATATTTGAAAATATTGATAATTGCAACACAGTCTTAATGTAAATAAACAATAAACATGTTTTGACTTCACACAAAGTAGATATTTTATGCTTTAACTCTCACACACAATTAGTGGACACGCTTTGAATATATAGATCTATTAAAAAATGGCCGTTATTTAGCTCAGTCACCAGAACCGTAAGTTCAGGGTGAGCTATTTGTATCGCAAGGGGATGCTCGGTTGTTTGTCGCCATGCGTCAACATTCATCTTCTTCTTCTCTGAAACTGCTGAGCAAATTTAAATCAAATTAGGTCTGTCGCATCTTTTATATAGTCACATTTTATTTTGCTCTTATCATTTCAATAGGCTCTATTTATGGGTCAAACGGGCTTACAATAGAAAACCTTAAAACATATTTTTTTACTGAACTAATTGATAAATGATCACTTGTCTGTAGCATTCTTAATTCGTTTTTTATTAAAATTTAATTTGTTCAAATTAATTTGATTTGCTTTAGAGATAAAAAAAACACATTTAAACATCTTCTTCTACTAAACTAATTGACGGATGATCACAAAACTTTGTCTATAGCATTCTGAGAAAGTCTTTTATCAATTTTTTTCATATTAATTTCAGTGGCCCCTTTTAAGGCCCACTAAAACTAAGAAAAAAAAACTTTTACTATTTTCTGATTTAATTGATGAATGTATGATCACCAAACTTTGTAGCATTCTTAGAGTCTTTTTTATCAGGTTTGTTCAAATTAATCTTAGTGGCCTCTTTTATGAGCCATAAGAGCTTAACGTAGAAACAAACTTGTAAACATCTTCTTCTACTGCACTGATACACTAAAGTTTGTTTGTAGTTTTGTTAGATGATTCATTTTCAGGTTTGCTGAAATTAATGCGACGGTCCCTTTTAGGTACCTCGAGACCTAGAAAAAAAAAAAAATGCATTTCTAAATAATTTGAAATACTTACTTGAATGTTCTTTCTATTTCTTACTATGTTTGCTTTATAAGTCACATCCTTAAAATACTTGTTTACACGAACCGCACTTGCCACTTCATGAATTATTATTAGTGTCGAGAAATTTTATAAGTAGTGGGACAAGTTTTAATAATATAATTGAGCTGAACTTGCTTTTCGGCAAATTCAGTTGAACACCGAAAGACAGTTGTTTCTGGTCAGCAATTCAGGGCCATCATGGCTCTCTTATTTAAGAAAGGACTAGCTTTACTAGACCTAGTGTATGTTCTTGTATTAAACTAAGAAATATATTTTACTTAAAGATAAGCAAAGTGTATGTTTTTAACATTTTCATACCTAAATATTTTTTTCTTGAAGCTTACTACCTCTATGAAGTGCTTTGTCTCTAATGTGCCTATAGATGCCAGTGTTTTTTGTAATACTGATAATACCACTCTTCCTGGGAAAATATATTTCAGGTAAATCAAGTATTCATTTACATTTATTCAATCGGTATCTTATTAAAAAGTCGTAAACGTGTTTAGATGATTTAACAACTTTTAGTCAATGATACATTTAGTAAAGTATATAAAATTAGCTGATACTACATGTAATACTTTTTTGATATATTGTTTGTAAAGCAGATATATATTAAAACTGTTTTTGTCATTTATTGACTGATATGTTGTTTTATTTTGTTGCAAAAGCATGTAAACTTTTACCTACATATAAATTATGTTCTTTTTATATCCTCACAGCAGTCTAAAAACGCTCGCAAATGCATCATTGTCAGAATAATGTAGATATTATTTTTTAAACGAGTTTATGTTTTCATACTGCGATGGCATGTGTATGTTTTTATTTATCTCGTGCGCACGAGATACTATGTCGTGGCCACGAGTTACTAAGTTGTGGCAACGAGAAAGTTAAGTCGTGGGAACGAGATACTATGTCGTAGTCACGAGATACTATGTCGTGACCACGATTTACTAAGTCGTGGCCACGAGGTAATTAAGTGGTGAGCATGAGATATTATGTCGTGGTCACGACATAACTAAGTCGTGTGTAGAGATAATTACCCAGATCAGATTACACTATGAATTTTTGAAACAAAGAAAAAAATCTGTTTACAGTTTTACATGCAACACTTTTCTTTTAAAATACTGTAGTGTTCACTTTAAATTTGATACCTGTCTTAAATATCATATAAGAAAGTTACCATCTAAGGCCCATAAATTAGATATAAATTCTGACTAATTAATAGCCCTTTGTGCGGACAATTTTCATATGGAATTGGTCAGTTTGTACGTACAACGGCCTGTTTACCTTATACGATAACTTGAGAAGGAATTACTTCTGTTTCGTTTATTTGGCAGAGACAATACCCACGGAAAGTAGATAGCCTGTAAGGATGTTTGAGGTCAAGGGTCAAGGTAAACATGACACTTCATGTGAAATCCTTGTCTGTTTTATGATTTAGAAGGAATAATCCATGGTTTATATAACCTAGAAAGATCATTGCTCCTGATCAGTAGATGACACCTTATAATATTGAGGCCAATGGGTAAAAAATTAGGGTTACAATTACGCTAATTTAAAATCATAGACCAATCAATAACATGAATACATGGCATTTTACAGACAAGTGAAGTAGGGGCATCCTTGTACTATAGCACATGTCTAGTTAATTAGGAAAATTTACATACATAGTGGAATCTGATTGCATGGCTACTTATCTCGTATGCACGACTTAATTATCTCGTGACCGCGACTTATTAACTCGTGGCCACGGCATAGTATCCCGCTTCCACGACCAAATTATCTCGTGGCCACGACTAAGTAACTCATGGCCACGACAATGTATCTCTTGGCAACGACATAGTATTTCCTGACCACGACTTAAATATCTCGTGGCCACGACTTTGTAACTCGTGGCCACGACATAGTATCTCTTGACCACGATATAGTTTCTCCTGACCACGACTTAATTATCTCGTGGCCATGACTTAGTAACTCGTGGCCACGACATAGTATCTCGTTCTTACGACTTTACTATCTTGTGGCCACGGTTAAGTAACTCGTGACCACTACATAGTTGCTCGTGAGCACGAGATAAAAAACACAGACACACGTAACTGTTGTGTCACCGTAGTATCATATTTCAATAAACAAGCTAATTTTAACTCAGTTGCTGTGCATATATTAAACACTTTGTACATGTAAAATGTCAACTAGCAAATATGCAAGTTAAGGGAGAAATTCACATCAGTTAGGGAAAGGACACTCTTATAGTGTGTAGCGTTAATTTTTGTTGAGAAGAGAATTTGTTGTTTTGAAGGGAGTTTTGTTAATTTGTTGAAGTTGGTTGAATTCAATTGTGGTGATCTTACTTGATCAGGGTTCATTGGTTGTAAATAGTTGTATGCATTTTTGGTTGTTGATTTATGTCTGCTTGGTAAGACATTGGTTGAATGATGGAATGATTTTGTCTGGTCAAGATTATATAAATTGATGCTTTGTTTTGAGGATATATGTAAATATTGGATGCGTTAGTTTAAGTTGTTTTCTAATGCTGATTAGATTTATTGAAGTTAATATTGTTGGTTGAACGTTTTTGGTTTATACTGTATCTTAGAGTTGTAAAAATATTTAATTTGTGTCCTTCATTTTGTGGCAATTTAATTGTTTTGTTTGATCATAAGTTGTTTAGAGCTTGGGCTCGCCAGGTGTCTAGTATTGTTTCGTATAAAAGACGTTTACGTGAAAAGATATTTCGTATACATGGTTGATAAATGATGTGTGCTTGTTTTTGGGTGTAAATAATGATCAGAGTTCTTTGTTTTGGGTGTAAATAATAATCAGAGTGTGTTGTTTAGATGTATATATAAACACATGTCCATATATTTATATGGATTTGAGACAGAAAAAGATAAAAACACCTATAATAATAGTGTTAACTAAACAATTACATGCTAATTTTCTAACTGAGAATATTTCAATTTTAAGTCAGGCGGTGCTGTCCAGCCTCCATATCTTTGAAATTGGCTGTAGTTTTTTATTACTTTATCTCTATTAGATTAAATAACACTAAGGCAGTCATTCTCATGACAATCATTTTAATTTATTTATTAGTTTATACTTACGCAGACTCACAAGCAATAGCTATAAGTTCCCAACAAAATTTAAGGCAGCCGCTCATTAGATATAAAGATTTCCTTTAAATAAGTAAATTTAATCACTTGAGCTAGAATAACCGCGCTGCCAAAACTTTAAATGACCCAAGTTTTTCTTTTTCTTTACAGCTAATATGCTGGATTATATGAATATTACTAATTCCAAATGTGTAAAATTTTTACGATTCACTTTTTTGACAGTCATTATTAAAGTTTCATACAGGTCTACGAATTTATTTGATGCTGGTTTATCTTATAATTAGAGTTCTGAAACACATCAATAAAATCAAAACACAAAGGGTATGTTGCATCATAGAAAAATATAATATAACAAATAATAATGAAGGTTTTGTAATCTTTAGTGTTTGAAATTGCAGGAGAACCCAAGGCCGGTTTTTCATATTTGCTTTGAGTACATACATCGGCAATATGTCATTTAAGGTTTACACAACGAGTATAGAAGAACGTAAGTACAAGTCAAGTGCCTTAACATAATAAAGTTAGGCAACCCTTTGTATAGTGATATATTAATTTTACCGAGTACACATTTGATATAAAAAGAGTTAACAAATATGTTTTGTTGAATAAGTTGATAAAATATACACAATTAATTGCTTTTTAAGCGTACTTAATATTTCATATACTCACCTTTGAATTTACAAAATTATAATGAGGTACTTGTTTTATAGTTCGGATAACAATATTAATTACCGAAACATTAAACTTCTAGACAATACGTTATTCCTAAGCCAATTCTTAATTAGATGGATTGCGATCGTGGGGGATAATTGTATTTGCTAGTGGAATGCCAGGATCATCATCATTCTTCAAATTTGTCACAATCGTTTGACCCTATTTGCAACGCTTTATTTTATTTCTTTCTATGTATTATACAAGCAAAAAATATCCACCATTTTTATCGCGCATTAAACCTATTCAGTGACTTCTTTTGATTCCTTGTTATATTTTGGTTGTGTTAAACTAGCCAGTATGTTGCTGATTCTGTTGAATTTAATATATATTTCCTATCTCAACGTTCTAGAAAATGGTGAGCCATGTTTTGAAAATATTGATGTAGACTACGAACATATCGCAGGTAGGCAGATTACTGTTTCCTCTGCGCATCCAAAACAAATACTGTCAGAGACAAAAGACAGTTACACTTCTTGGATTCCCGACATTACAGACATGACACCTTGGATTTTGGTTTGTTAAATTAATTTTCTACTAATTAAAATATAATAAGACCTTTCATCATACATTAAGAGATGCATGTGCTTTTTTAAAATTCTAATAGTGTCCAAAATTGTAAATTTGATTGTAAAGCAAAAAAATGAGAAAATATTTAATCATATTCGATACATTTCGTTCTGTAGTATGACCTAGGAAATATATTTAGTTAATGAACGTGTTTAATAAAATTCTAGTTATGTACATTCACGGAGACTGCATGGATTTTTGTCGACTTATTATGTTTATGCCTCAATTCTTTTTTTGAAATTAGGTAGATCTAAATAATTTTTGAACTCGTTATCGTTTTGACACAATGCTTTTTTAATAAAAAATGAATTATATATTTCAGATATTAGTGTCGACTTGTGATCGTTATTAGTTTTAATAGGATGTTCTTATCAACTTTATTATAACGTATTTTCCTGTTTATTTTATTATATCACTGTTATAATAAGGTGCCATAATTATCTAATAAACTACAGAAAAAATATGTATAAAAGTATAAATTCTTTTATAAATATGATTTTATATATAGGGTAGGGAAAACAACTATATTTATTAATATTTAAGACATATTCGTTCGTCCGTCGTGGTTACGACCATTTATTCTCGACCAATATGTTAAAATGTTGCTTGCAACTGGATATTCATATGAAACAATTCGCTCTGAAAAATCGAAAAAAAAATCTTACACCGGCTGTCGGTTCAGACGACAATGTCTAGCTAGATGGTTACTGTTTAAGATAAGAAGGCTCTCCCGGATTTCCGTGAAAAAGTTACCCGAGAACTAGATATTCCGTTTGTATAGACAGCAGGTGCTTTATTCTGTTTTCTTGCATACAACATATTACTCATATTTCGAGAAAAAAATGCAAAAATTCATTCTTAAAAGGAACGCGTGCATAACTTCATTTGAAGCAAGTTACTTGTCTTGCACAGGGTTTGTAAGACAGGGGTTTCTCGCACCTGTGTAAACAGTAGGAAATCCTGTTTTGATATGCAAGAAAATCCTTTAACACCCTTAAAGCCAAAAGATATAAATCTAAAAAAAAAGAATCTCCAACAAACGCAAAATTGAATATTTTGATGTAGTATATACACACTAGAAGTGTCAAGAATTAATAGAGAGTGAAAACATGGCTAATCTTATTGTTTCGTTATAATAAAAAAAAAATCAAAGTGACAAATATTCTTGATCAAAATTAATTTATTCAACTAGGTGGATTTATTCACTTTAACAACAATAGAAGGATTTGGTATTAATTTTCCAAACGATTGTGATGCGTGGATGGCATTTAGTTTCTATCATGGCACGAATAAGGACGATCTACAGCTATACAATGACATGGTAAATTCGTCTGTGTTAATAATGCAATGAAATGCTTAAATCATTAAATCATGAAATAAAATTTTAATCAAGTATTCAGAAGATAAAGAAATCCACGAACTGTATATAATGTTCGCCAGTCCCTGATTGTGTGCAACGATTATCAACAGATCTAACCTCTATCTCTCTATCTTGCTGAAACTGATAGTGATAAGTCTTTGTTACTCGTTGTTCATGTTTAAATTTTAATACCAGGACAAATTTTAAACTGTTCCAAGCTCATAGCTAGGCCAATCTATGACACAAATACATCGAGTTGAGTCTTTCAAATGCATATCTGACTCATTTATAAAGATGAGCTCGTACAATTATGCTATTTATTTTGTCTATTTCGTTTGCAATTTTATAAGTCGGGTCGGATATATTTCCAGGAAAAGCTTTAAGATCACCTGGTATTTTGTTCAAACTCAAAATCTATATAGCTTTTAATATTTGCATAAAAAGTGTAAAAAAATAATTTCATCTTGTCTTCACATTTTAGTTAAATGAACAATAATGAAATATCGCCCATTATATTTCATTAGTTTATAGTTGAAACTATTGCTCGTTTAAAATGAAATGTTCACGTAAGATACCATGGTCAAGTGATGAACGACATATACAAACATAAGGTTATAGATATTTTTGTCAATAAGGATAATCCGAAGAAAGTATATACACGTTGAATTAGATGTGTACATGTTCAGTTTTGTTCTGGGATGTAGGCGTTTATAGGTACCCAAAAGTGACAGAACAATAATGTATATGCCATCTTTATACTTAAGATTATCATCGAAATGTTATTATAATCGCAGTTTTCACAGCCTGTCGGTGAAAATAAGAATAGTCAGCCATTTGGTTTTAACTACAATGAAACAAACAAATTACTGCTAATTTATTTATTTTCAGGAATTAAGAATATCCCCATTTTTTAAATTACGGAAAAATTTGACAAAAATGTTCACTTTTCCGAGACCAATCAAAACAACATACGTTAAATTCAGTAAAGTACTTGAAAATCCAGCAGACAAATCTAGATGTCTTAGTTTCAAATTGTTCGGCTGTAAAAAGACAGGTTAGTAGAAAATATTATGAATTGTAGTGCATTATTTTCTGTAAACAGTTGTAATTGTATTATTTCAAAGGGAATGAAGCGAAGATTAACGCACGATTAACTGGATAGTTAGTAACATACTTGTAAAATAATGCATGATATAAATATAAAATACCATGATTTTGCTTGCAATTATATCAGAATTTTTGATCAAGTGAAATTTGCTTACTTTGCGTAAGCACTAGTATCAGCGGCGATGACTTTAATAATTATTTTCTTATATGAATATAATTTATGTAAGTATTTAAAAAAAATTAATCAATGCAAATATTTGTATGTTTCAAAGTTACAGCTAGAATCTTTCAATCATTTCTTGAAACCTGGTTTTGAAATACCTTTAACGCTGATGTTTTCAAAATTAAAAGACATACCAAAATACAATAATAGCAAATACTTCAAAAATTTAGGTATTTTCATTACCGGTCACACCACGTTAAACAAAACACGTCCTATGCTATATTTGTAATGACTTTTCATGTCGGAGAAATGATACATTTGAACAGGTATCACTAATATCAACAGCGGCAGTTTATCTGAACTGGTGCCTCTTAAACAAGAATTACGATCTGGAGATTCATATCTTATTGGAAATATAAGTGTAGAGGAGTGTAAACGCCTTTGTAGCTCGAACATAAGTTGTAGTGTTGCCAATATCAATGAAGATAGACTTTGTCAGCACTACATGTGTAGTCAACTTGGAATATGGAAACATTCTATGATAGCCAATGGTAGTCATTGGTTTGCAAAACTACACAACTATGGTACGTGAATATTTTCGTATTTGTTTTTCTTTTATTCATTTTGTCGTATGTCGATCCCAACAAAGTAATGGGAAACGTCATTTTTTGAAAAAGATCTTCATTCAAAGATTTTGCATTTTGTTTCTGATGTCACAGTTTTTACTTTCATTGTTCGTTATCAGGTAATAAAAAATAAACATGTCCCATATATTTTTAAACTCGATTTTGAACACTTTCCAAGACTCGTTTTAAATTAAAGGAAAAGTCACGAGAAATCCATTATTATAAGACGCGTTTGTTAAGACTTTTTATATAACATTTAATTCAGCAGAAAAATTAACAACATCGTTTAATATTTTCTTGTCAACACAGTACATCTGATGGTATTTCCGAGAGTGAACAACTCGGATGGATCGTTTTTTGGAAACGTACAGTACGTTCATACAGACTCCATAATAGCGTCATTAAGTTACCCCTTTAAAACAATATTAGATAGTGATATACAATGGATTGTAAATTTTGAGCCACGTCAGTTTGCTAAACTAGTTTTCACTAACCTAACATTATCTGAGGTATGACATTACATTTATCTTAATATACGTATAACATTGAATCTTATTAAGTATGTACAATAAAATTAAAACAATAGAAAAATCCAAAAGAAACAATAGCAAAACAAACAAAAACACAGCAATGTCTGTGATTGTGTTGTGTGCCAAAATTTCAAGAATCATTTTTTATTTGATATTTTACTGTTTTTACGTTATTAATTTTGGTTGGGAGTGGTCATTGTAAAAAATGTTTCTACAGTTTAAAATTGTATGTTTTTATAAATACAATTTCAGTACAATGAACGATACCTGCAAGAGTGAGAAAAATTTAAATGATTTGAAATCTATTTCTAAAATTACTTTTGGCCGACTTTTCTTATTTATAACGATTCCGTTAAATTTAAACTCGACACTTCCTCATTTATTATAATTTACATCGCTTAACTTAAAATTCATAGAATTATAAGATACATTTGCACAAATGTTCCTTTTGCAAGAAGTTATATATAAATTTGAGATTGCTATATGATATTTTCTTTTAAGCAGTGTGAACTTATTGTTAAAACATCACAAGAAAGCAACAGTGGATTCGCCATAGATGAGCTTTTAAACGAAGAAGTATTTGTAATAGAAACAAACAAAAATCTGTTGTTTTTAACAACTATTCCCAAAACGATATTGTCATCTACATGTAAAATAAAATTCCGGGCAATTGTTACCGCTGAAGGTACATTTAATATATATTGTATTCAAATTAAGATACATCAGTCATAATTTCAAATAGAAGCTTTTTTGTTTTTACTTTATACTTGTTAGGTCGACTTTTTTTAAGTAGAGGTAGTTCAGTTCTGGCGACGTTACCGTTGCTGTCCGCAAACTTGTACCTGGATCATCACTTTTTTAGTTCTAGGTGTATTGTCTTCATACTTGGCCACAACAATTCTTGGGACAAGACATTTCAGTAAACGTGGACCACACCAACCTTGACATTCATCAATAATAACCTTGACTTTCAAGGTCAAAAGTCAAAATTTTGCTTGTTCTTGCTGTTATTGACTGTAACTTTGTTATTTTTCAATGGATTGTCTTCAAATTTAAACATAATATTCTTGAAGGATAGCCCTTTAAAATAACCAAACAGACCTTGATCTTAATTTGTAAATGACCTCGACTTTCAAGGTCAAAAGTCCAAATTTAAATAGCCCTATAAATGCTTATATATAAATGTTTGTATGTATATCTTTTTTCTTCTGTTATACACATGCGGATATATATTGAAAGAATTCTAATGTTACAAGATAGACTGATTAAATTTATAAAAAGGAAACGTTAAGATTTGTTCAAACATTTCTTCGTTTGCTTTTAGAAAAAGTTGAATGTCGAGCGTTGCCCTTGCCCGGCCGTGGCTCTTGTTTCAATTTATGCTGTAAACATGACAGGCTTTAAAAAAATATGTTAACATTTTGTCTGAATTCAAGTTACTGCGTGGTATATTATATAGAGGTGTAATTACATCGATGCTTTGTTATTACGTCCTTTGTTTTTAAAAGGATCAAACGAAAGGAATATGTCCGTTAAATATTAGTATTATTCTCAACAGTGCAGTCGAAAGACTTTCACATTTCGCAATTACTTCGTGCAAATTTGGTTTTCATAATGACTTCTGTCCTTTTTACGAAATTCAATATAACCTTATTTAATAGCATTTCTGTCATTTTTATTTCACATGACTTAACTTCTATATATAAAGGTCGTATTTAAGCATTTTAATGAAGATATATCGAGTGTAGTTAAATACACCTAGTCTTCTTTTCAACAAGCAAGATATTTAAACTGCTATATACTTCGATATAATATAATATATTATTGTGACGGATAAAACAGAATAACCATGAAAGCGTCGTACAAATATACTTTGATCTTTACCATTATATTCTGAAATAGTTATACATTCAATTTGAAAAAGCTTTGTTGGTCCCATATTTTGTAAATATAATGGATATAATAAAAGGAGAGTCACGTTGCTTTTAACATGATTCGAAAACTTAACGAACTTGCTAACATGTAATTACATACTATTTAACCAAAATAACATCGTAAATGTACACTTTCAAAATATTTTTGTTTAAAAACAATTTCTTTCTAGAACTTAGCAATCATCCTTCATTAGTTTTATTCCGTATTTTATTTCAAAACGGTCTGGAACTTATATTGTTTCAGACTGTCGTTAATAACATGATTGCCATAGTCTTTTTCCTTTCCTTCCAGAAATTCCAGCCTGCTTTGAATTCAATTTACTTGAACATTCGAGAAGACATTTCAAAAGAAGAAAGGAACTTTGCAAAGAACCAGTCATGTTCCTTACATCCCTTTCGTATCTAAATCTTAATCAAAATTTGGAAGAAATGTTTACAATCAAAGCCGGGGAACATCAAAGCATCGAACTTACCTTCATTGATTTTTACACACCGTGTTATAAGGTTAACGGTAAGTAAATTCGTTAGGTTACTAAAGGTTTAAATTTATCTTTGACTGACAGAGGTTGAAAATATATAATAGGTATTACCGCTTTGTTCGATTATTAAGATCTTCGTGCTGTTCACATTGCACATGTTTCGTTGGATTGTGGCTGTTTGTATATTTCAAATTTCACTATCTATTTTCATGATTAACTATTGAATATGCTTAATTTGGTGCCAGTGTCTGTAAACGGTAGCTCGCACATTTCAGTTCCGTCCATGAACAGTCTCAGTCAAACCGAGCCTGCAACATTTTCAGTTTATTTGATTTAGACATCTTTTTGCTGTTTTTCTTTTTCTCAATATGACCGATTTTAGAATTTAGAAATAATGCGAACAATCAAGTGATCACGGTTTTTCATTTCTTATATATTTCGCAACATTTTTTTTGTCAGCGAATAATTCCCATCAACAACCGGTGCCTTGATAAAAACCTTGGTATGAAAATAAAAAAAAAATAAAACAATCCCCCACTCCCGCCAAAATACAACAACAACAAAACAAAAAAACGCACACACAAAACAACAACAGCATACGCAGAAAATAGTAGACCAGGAGCTTAAAGAACACAACAAATTAAGTATGAAAATGAGCATATCCCATAAGGATGTAACATAACACTATTTATTATATAATCTATAAATAGCTTTGAAATGCCTTTCCCTGATTGGCTAACAAGCAACTTTTTGTAAAAAATAACAGGTCAATATCAGAGTATATTCACTGTTTTTTTCCTAAAAATAGATTTTCAGAGTATATTCACCGGTTTTTCTTCTAAAAATAGATTTTCTGGAAATGCCCTGAAAGACACGAGACTATGACGTGATGTCACGCCAAATTTGTTGTTATATATTATTCTGATAAAAAAAATGGATAAATCTTAAATAAGAGTCAAATAAGTCTATTTTAGTAACCGTCTTTACATTTTAAAGAACACTTAGAATAATTAAGCTTGCTAATGCGCTCATTAAAAAGATATTTTATGGAAAAATAAGACACGCTTTCGACGTAGGCAATGGCAGATTTAATAAGCCATATAAAAGCTATCTATAAATCATATAATAAAACAGATATGTACTTTTTAGGTGGTGAATATGATGTGATATGTACTGAAAAATTAATATTGACCTCGGCTATTTTTTCAGTACATATCACATCATATTCACCACCTAAAAAGTCCATATTTGTATAATATTGCATGTGTTACATTGTCTTTTCCCCATATGTAATAAAGAGAACTTGAGGTTTACTGGTTTGTTTTTAGTTTGTAGTGAGCATTTTACACAATGCCATGTTATATCAATAAAACACACGTTCAGTTCAATGCAATATTACAACACAACATAATTAATATTAATGTATGTAACATTAGTTGATGAATAATTTGTTTAATCAATTACTGGTGCCTTTTTAATTTTAATCACTTTGATATGTACATGCATTTTTTTCATAATATAAATATGTAAATAGGTGATTGGTGTGGCATTCCAAAAACATAGAAGGTGAGTTTCGCAGACTATAACAAAGAAAATAGAAAAAAAGATTGAGACACGAAACCTTCAATTTGAAAGTAAAAATCTTAACACTTTGTCATTACGGCTAGTTAGCCATGTGCTGTGTTAGTAACTTTTAGTTTTAAATAAACCATGTATACCGTTAATCCATAATATAAAATTCGTAACCCGATAATCACCGACAAAAGGTCATTGAATATTCAAATATTCAAATTCTCGGGTTGATATTGCCAAACAATACAGTAGCTATAGTAAGTAAACTGCAGTGAAGGGTCTCAAGTTTTCGTTCATAATTTAACTGCCAGCAGGCGCACGGCAGATTTGAAATAGAGACGTTTATGTGTGTCAGGAAATTGACTGCCTTGATGTGAATAATCTTACCATAACCAATTTCTAAGATATGAAGGCTGAGCACCACCACTTGACTAAAATTGAAATATCCCAAAAATAGCTTTAAAAAATCTTTTTGTAAAAAAACAAAAGAGCAGTAAAGATTAGATATTTGGCATTAAACATCTTCAAGTGGAAGTCTACCAAGTTTATTCAAATAAATGCCGTTGGGTCAAAATTGGTCTGGTCCCAGGGGGTCATTGATTTTCCTTAAATGTATATAGTAAAACCTTAAAAAATCTTCTTGTGAAAATCCAAAAGAGCTAGAGCTTAGATATTTGGCATAACACATTTTCTAGTTGATGCATACCATGTATGTTGAAATAAAACACCTAAGGTCAAAATTGGCCCACCCAACGGGATCAAGGTCGACAGTTCAATCCCCAGCCAGGTCAAGGTTTGTTTTCCTTCTCTTTTTCGTGTCACCATTTACTTAGTGGCAGGCTGAACTGTTTAATAAAATGGCTGCCAGATCAAAAATCAGAAAACAACATCTAAACAACACCTAAATCACTGGATCATTTTTGAAATAATTTTACACAAATATTACCTTGGTGACAGTGTACAAAAATTGTTCAGATAAAGTTGTCCATTGTTTTTAAATTGTGCTTCTGTGTTGAAAAGGGGCTCCCTTTGACCTTTTGACATATTTCCTAAATGCGCGATCCAGGGCTCTCTGGGCACTCTTGTTTTATCTTTTTCTATATCAAATCTATATAAACATTTCAAAAACAAACCGATTTTTTTACACCCGAAACAAAAAACTAAAGTCAAACACACACTATTCATTAACCACTTAATATACAAAATATCTTTTCACATGTCTTTTATAAGAAACAATACTAAACACCTGGCGAACCCAAACTCTAAACAACTTAATAATATGATAAAACAAAACAATAAAATCGCCACAACATTAAACAAATAAAATGAATTATTTTTAAGATACAGCATAAACCACAAACATTCAACCAAAAAAATTTCACAAAATATAATCAGCATCAGAAAACAACTAAAACTAAAACACCCAATATTTACAGATATCTGCCACGACAAAGCATCAACTATGATACTCTTGACAAGACAAAATCACTCAATACAACTCATTCAATATATACCAATTACAGTTGACTCTCAATAAGTCAAAATCGCTTTACTCAAAATTCCGCGTAAGTCGAAGAATTTCTAAAGTCCCGTCAAATTTCCTTCTTTATCTTTGTATTTTAACTCCGCTTAGGTCAAATTTTGACTTACCGAGACTCCTGTTTAGTCGAAAAGAAAATTTGGTCCCGTCAATTAAAGTCCAACATATTTTCATCTCAATTAGTCGAAGTGTGAAATCAGCCGACTGATCAAAGGTCGGCGACATCATGGTGTGATGTTGTCACTCGTGATTTACACGTTTCATAGTAATTATTTTTTAATTGCCGGTCATCATATTATTATTAACACGTCGTATAAGTGGCTTTAATCCGTTTCAGCACTTAATTGGTTTTAACAGTTAGATAACTAAATTAAAATTGATTACATTTCTTTAAGAAAGTTGACTCGTGCCAGTCTGACGGGTGTTAGTCAAATAACAGCCTAGGTATTGATGTGTTACCAACGTAAATGACATTGTATAATTAATGTTCCGTCATTTTGCATACATTTATTTGTACTTCCGGTTCACGATAGTTGCTACTTTCGTTTTCGTCCGATGATCAATTAAATCAAATATAATTGTGTGTATATGTTCACATTAATATACATGTATTAAATTTTGAATGATATATTTTGTTCATTATAATTTTAGTTTGTAAGTGATTTACCGTCATTTCAACGGTTAAATATTGCAGCATTGCCGCTAACAACAATAACAAACCTACTTCTTTCCACATTTAATCAGGCACATGTATATACATGTACGAATGTCAACGTAATGGCGGCAGTTCCACGTTACTCGAATTCCGTTTCTCTCGAAGTAAAATGCCCAGTCCCTTGGATTTCGAGTTACCGAGAGTCAACTGTATATCTTATCAAACTTGAACAACAAATATAATGCAACAACCAGAACAACTTATCGTAACCAATAAACGCTACATACATTAAGTGCGCTTTCCCATTTGCCCCTATTTTTTATTTTTTTATTTTTTTTTTTCATTGTGCCCTCACCTTACCCAACTCTTGTATCCCCTCCCTCTTTACTTTTTGGTTCTTTCAATTAATCAATAATTTCTTTTATTTGCTTGTCGGCTACTATCATTTCTTTTTAAGTATAATTAAAGTGATTAGCCTGTCCGTGCTCTGTCTTGCGCCATGTCCTGTTTTTGTTTTGGGCCTACTGGGCTCCTTGGCACTGGATCTGTTGCTGGGTCGTGTGGTGTTTGCGTTCATTGAACGTCGCCTTGTTGATCTTGTGTGCTAAATTTCCTTAAACCGATGTCAATTTCACCCATCGCATGATAATAAGAAAATATTCGCAAGTATTACGATTTGACATTTACATGTACAGACAGTTTATACACAAATGCGAACGGCAACATGTTTGAAAAGAACTGTATATTGAAATATGATAGTTCCACTACACATCTGTGTATCACTGTAGAAAGATATTCACTTGGGAAAAATATATATCTACAGATACACTGTATGATTATTCTGACAATGTGAAACCTTAACTTTTGTCTTTGTGTTTTATTATTCTATTAATTTGTTTTCTCTGCATGTTTAACTTTTCCAGCACATATGAGATTAATAAAAACCCTTCGTCAAGGTTACAGTTATCTTAACACATAGATAACCTATCGAGAAAATCAGGGCTTTTTTACAATACCTTGTCATGTGGCCATTTCTTTTTATCTTTTTCGTTTTTTTATTATCATCATATGAAAGTAAATTAGTTCACACATGTAAGTGGCACAATCCATTATCAGCACCATTTCGTACTTTATTGAAATATATTTAGATAAAATTAACATTATCGGCATTGACATTACTCTAAACGAGTACAGTTTGCTCTGGCGTATTGAAACGATTCTTTGTAACAAACATGCATATCCAAAAGATCAGGGTATACTTAAAATGTGTTGTCGGCCAACGGCGTCTAAAATCGGTTTTAATTCAAATAAAATTTAACAGGAAAAGTGAATATAAGGCGTATTATCATTGGTCATTTTAATTTTTATATAACAAACCAAATTGGTCATTCTAAAATCAAATTTAAAGAATAGTTCTTGCCATTCTTAGATATATTTTTTTCAAGATAGTTATCAAATAAATTAATAAGGATAGTTCTTGCCATTATAAAATTAAATTTAAAAAACAGATCTAAATTAAATTGTACGGGATAGTTTTTCTTTTAATTTCTAGTTAAATTGCTCTGAAATTCAAGTTCTGTTAAACCATTCCTCTATTTGTAATACATGTTTATCAAATGTTACTCTTTTGATTATACCACAAATTACGCATATGATTACAACAGTCATCAAACGTAAAAACAAAGGGACACCTAAATGAATACTGTGAAACAGAAATAGTTATACTTTGAAGAGACATCAATATCAGTATGCTTATAAATTAATTTCTGTGCTAACTCAACAAATTGTGGCAGCTGTTAACAGTTGCCCCGAAATTTACTTCATTGTTGTTCTATTCTTCGGGATGATTGATTCCAACACGTTTAAGTGTTGAGAATTGAGTACCGCTCAAGCTGGTGCTAAGGGGCTGAGGGATGTTGCACTTTTTTATTATCCCTCATGTACAGACTTACTGAAACCGAGTCTGCAATTTTCATGTAATTTTGTTATGGTTAGTGCCTCCTCCGAAGGATCACACTTTTTCTGGATTTTTTTTTACAATAACCTAAAGTTAGTGTCTTATGATCTTATTGTGCAGAAAAAATTTTTTTCGGCTTATTCGAAAGCCGTTATTGTGTCATATGCCAAATTGAAAATAGTATATTATTTTCCCAATCCACAGAAAAAATTCCCAATTTGAAGTTACGAAATAAAAATATTGAATAGAAAATTCAAAGATCTTTGAAAATAAGGGCTTTCCACTGTAATAGTGCTTAAATGTTTGGAGAGGCCATCCTAGACAGTAACTGTTTGCATTCATTTAATCACTGCAAAGTTTGAGTCATGCATTTTCCCCCAATGTTTTAACAAAACACTGCTGAAATTCCCAATTCCATGGGTATGGGTCATGATCCCAAAATCCCTGAGAAAGTCAATTTTGCTAACCCTCTGAAGAGCTATGAAGCGAAAACTATAAAAACATTCAACACAGATTCTTGTTTACGATAGTGATCAAAACTATTTTACATGTATACCTGTTGTTCAATAACAAATAGATTACTTGACTTTTATGGTGACCAACATTTGTTTATACGTTATGTTATGTTAATCAAAGAAAGGTATTTTTGTAGAAATAATCATGACTTCCTGTACGACAATTTACGACCTATATTATTCATCTCAAAATAAAGAAAAACAGAATCGAATTCCTACAGAACGCACAGAAAGGCAAAATTGAATATATTGCAGGTTCGGTTTGATTGAACTTGTTCATGGACGATACTAATAATGCAGACTAAGTCATGTCATATTTTAAACATTCTGCCGTGTTATCATGTTCTATGGCATTGTTACATGCAATGGTGGCACGTTTTTGTCCCTTTAAGGTTTTTTGTTTTCGTCTTCTACGTTAAATTTCATTCCTTCATCCTTATTTTTTCAGTTTTGTTGTGCGTTGTCCCAATCCGCACATGTAGGCATTTCAATCAATGTTCTTTTTAATGACCTTCTTGGTTTCTAAGAATTCGTATTTTGACACTTCGTCCTTGACTCGCATGGGGTCCCATTTTTTTTTGGTGTCCTGCTGCTTGGCTCATTGCTTATTTTGCTGGGTTTTGTTGCAGGAAGCGTTTATTCAATGCCGCACTTTCTATTTGATCTTCTTCTTGACATTGATACAGGAAATTTGAGATCAAGATTCGCTATTGAGGATGCCGATGGAGAGCACGATTTTTGTTCACAATGTCTACCGCCAGAAAAATACAAATCAAAAAGTTCAGAGATTCATATATATTTTCGAGTTTTGCATGGAGAACGACTAAATGATGGAGCAGTCATGGGACAAAATGAAGGATTTCGAATACAGTATAGACTATCAGATCATAATCTTCAAAGGTACACAACTGACGTAGAAAAATATAGGTCATCAGGCATGTATGATTATATCCTTTAATTTCGAGTAAATACATACATAGTTTTATTTCTAAATACTGCCATATCTATACTTTTGAAACGGATACTTTTTAAGTTATTATCAAAATAACAGCCAAATTCCTGTAAGCTAAGAAGATATTTGCAAGTCTACCACTTTTTATAAATAATGCATACAAAATCTTAAGAAAATAAAGAAATTAAGAATTAAGAAATAAATTGTTACAATAACTCATAAAATATATTTATTTATATTAAAGCCTGCTCGGAGCTTTTCAAAAAGTGCTATACAGTATTTTCTAAAAAGGTTTCATGGGACTTAGCAAACACAGAATGCATTCAGCGCAATGAACATCTTGTGACTGTAACTTCAAGCAACGAAATGAATTACGTCCAATACTTACTTCGGAGTAAGTTGTATCAGCAAAATAAGACGGAAGAGAATGAAGTTGCTGAAAAAGAGAAATTTCTTGGAGCGCATATTGGTATTTCTTCTTTATTTCCAACGGAATATGATTCGGTTTTAAGTAGATCTTTTTTATTCTACTCATAACAACATGTTTGTGCACCTTAGGCTTATGGTTTACTAGGTTGACTGAAGCAAAATGCATCTGTTAAGCCATATACGTATATTGTACCAATGTGTATTTATAACATGTGACAAATACGTTTCAAAAAAGCACACGTTTGCACAGTTACTGGGATAGAAATGCAAACAAAGGGCGAGGGTCTTTCACCATGCTATCACTATACGATTAAATGGTCAAATGTAAGGAATTAGTAAGTCAACACATCCTTTTAAAAAAGCATCGTAATAATAAGCTTTAAGTCATTATTTACGCAAAAACAAAAGATTGTTTAAACGTGCTGTGTTGGTCAGCAAAATTGTCCTAACTGAAACATTCATTCTGTTTAGTTTTTGTTAATAAAAAATAAAAACACTGTAAATGCGAAATAACTATACGTAAATTTTAGACTTTGAGAATTTGGTTTAGGCCCAGTTCTACAAAAAAATAAACATTTATAGAAGAGGTCACATATCTGTACCTTTGAATAAGACAACAAATTTGTACATTTACTCGCTTCAAATTTAAAGTCGTGTATAGTAAACTATCGGCACTATTCGATTAAATCATTTTGTACATTTTTTTGATTTCTAATCAATGTTGTAGCATTGCCTCTTCTAAAAACACCCAAGAACAAATATGAAGTAAAATATGTTTACATATATATAAAACATTTTTTTAATCCATAAGGTTTGAAAAGGATTAAGGACAAACAAAGAAGAACGGATTTCATCTGGATTACCACCTTCAACGTTACTTTCAGTGCTTGGTAATACACTAATAATTTCAAAGTATTGTTTATCATTATATTATTACAGGAAAATGAATAAGAACTATTATTTTTGTCCGTTCGTTCATCGTTCCATCTATCAGTCCGTCCGTTCAAAATGTTGTTACCGCGCTTTTTCTATGAAACTTTGTTGGAATATTCAATGTTTAAGGGGGTTTGCATATGATTTACACGTGCTATGCATACAATTCAGTCTTAATTTATGGCCAAGTCTTTTATCTATACACTATATACGCTGTTTTAAATCCTGCGTATTTCACCCTGTCACTTTTCCAAAAGTTGAGAAAGAATTTTGTGATTGAAATTTAGGTGATTTTCGTATCTTAGTTTTACCGACAACTCTCTCCAAAGCATTAATCTGAAACATTTGATTATTTATTTCCTGATCCGGACTTAATTACTGTATATGTAATTTTACGTTACATTCATTATACTAGACATAACGTGTTATTATACATTATATTGAAACTTGAGATTAGCTCATATTTAAAGCCTTTCAGTATCGATCTACACCTAATTCACGTCACATCCGGCATATTTTTATGGAATAACCGATTTTATTTTGCTAGATTTTATGCCTGGTCTAACTTTAATTTAATTAATTTCAGCATATATTTCCATGATTTGCTTAACTTTATTCCTATGAGTTTGATCATAATTGTGCATACTTTGCTACACATGAATCATATGATTACAGTTATTCATGTTACAATATAATTATATTCAAATTTGTAACCAAATGATAAATAGTACCCCGATTAGTAAAACATTTCATTTTAGCACATTGTAATCTTACAGCGGGAACATCACCTTAACGATTTGTTTCAATGTAAATGTTATTTTCGTTTTGGCTGAAATTTATTTCAACGCTTAAGTATTGCATACCATATCCATTAATAATAACTGTATCACATTATGTCTCCACATGCTAGAAAGACTATAATGATTATATAATAATTATGTTATTAACTTTGAGACTTGCCGTTAACTATTGCAGGAAAAATGGACAACCTTCAACCGGGGATTGTACTATGACATCATTGAATTTTAACGACAGGGAACTTTGGGAAACTCAAAATTGTTTTAGTAATATTGCCGATTTTTACATCTGTGAGAAACCATTTTCACTGGACAGGGACAAACAAAAGCGTATATTTTATAATTATCTTGAAACTATTATGCATTTATTCGGAATTGGAATTCAGGCATTGTCATTTTTTCATGTCTATCAAGTTTTATTATGACAGTTAATTATAACCTTTTATGGAACTATAATTCATATCGTTGTACATGTCATGTCGTTGTAAGTTTTTCTGGCCTGAACATGTCTCAACATTTTCAGTTTTTCAAGTATTACGGACGTTTACATGATTATATATCACCTTTTGGTATTCCTTTTTTGCCTTACTGTTCCATAAAGCAATTCAATGAATGACTAGTTACACCTTGCGAAAAATAGTAGTTATAATAAACAAATATAATAATTTCACTAGGCACGACAGGCAAAAAATGAATATGTTTTTTGTAATCAATCTGTTTGTAGTTAAATTTATTATGCTTTCCAGATAATATCACGGAAGATGTGTGTAAAGGTGTATATATGAAGAAAGACCTAATTGCGTCCCCACACTCTGGTAAATCTTGTCAAAATTGGCGAATGCTATCTGTCAAAGCTAAAAGTGATTTTAACACTTACTTATATTCTTCACGATACACTTTACACGATTCGATGTGTAAGGATCCGTACGCGCAGGACAATTTATGGTGCTATGTCATTGATGCTGACGAATACATGAGGGATCCGTGTTTTCTGCACCGTAAGTTAACTTGTAATTAGAAATTAGTCTGACAAAACTTGATATAAAATTATCGTGGGCTTCGAGATGGAATTGTTCGTGTGTGTGATCATTTCAATTGAAAAGTATATTCAATGTTAAAAAATGCTCTGCGTGTTTTGTATACGGAGGTCCTCAAGGCGACAACGGACACTTTCCGTGGTACTACCATTAATGTCATTTAAACCAACTTATTTTATTAATAATTGTTATTTATTTAAATTGTGTGCATTAAATGTCTTTGATCTTCATAAAAAATATCATATTTGAAAAAAATGCCTTTGTAAAGTAATGATTTTGATAAAAAATTCTATAATTCTAAATCGTCAGATCAAAGTCATTTTTTTATTTTTTTTTTTTTTTTTGTCTTCAAACTCTTGGCATATTAACATAATTATAATATCTGGGAAACCGTGTCTCAGACTTTTTCTATCTTTTCTCAAAAAAATATTACGTAACGTCAATTAATTTATGCGACTTTTTTCACCATACATATTACGTAATTAAAGATTATTAAGTCGCTGATTGAGCAAATCCCTGACACGGTTCCCTCCATAATTGAATCACCTTTCATGTGCTTTAAACCGCATGCAAATTGCTTATTTATTAAAAAAAGTAATGCCGATTCAAAGGTTAGTCCGACGCGCATCAAACGAAGTGTCATATATCGGCTGTTCTCTCTCAGATCCCTTCGTTTTCCGTTAAATTATTGTATAACACGCAAATATCTCACTAAAGGGGGTGACACGATGCGGTAACACATACTCTAACAATTTTTATGACCCAGTGACATCTGACCAATTAATTAGCAGCTGATATATATCATTTTATAGCAGAATTTCTTCAAATCTTAACGTGATTTACTGTCCGCCTGGTATCTGTCGCACATGTCACGTGACTATCGGTAAAATATGAGGCACTCAGTGGGGTAAAGTGGAACGCATTTAACGTTCGTACTGCTATCGGATAATCATATTTTTTCACTTTAAATTTGATGTTATTACTATTATCTAGTTTCATCATCATTATTATTTCAATATTATATCAGTGTCACTCTGCCTGTGTATTGTTGTTTTCTCGCCTACGGTAAGTATCTTCCCCCTTGTCTCTAGTTTTTTTTTTTCTATTTCTCCCCCCCCCCCCCCCCCCGGGTCTCATGTCCCCTTCCCTTGAGCCTTTTGACTTTATGGGCCTTATATTCAATCATTTATTTGTTTTCTTTTAGTTTCTTATCAGTTACTAATTATTTATTCTTAGGTAGTGGTTTGCCTGCCCGTGCCCTGCCTTTTGCCCTTTCCTGTTTTTGTTTGGGGTCCTCCTGTGCTCCTTGCCACTGGCTCTTGTTGCTGGGTCGGGTGAGGGCTGCGTTTATTGAACGCCGCCTTTCCTTGATGATCTTGTTTATCATATTTCGTGTATGAAATTCCGTTAAAATATAAATTATAATTACAAAACACTGTGCTTCCGACAGACTTTTAAAGTCCATGCATGGTACGTTGAACAAATAAGAACGGGATGTTATATTTTTTGTCCGATCAGTTCATATAAATGCTTGACATAATTTAATAGAAATAAAAGGTATTTCTCGATCAATATCATCTGACGTTCTTGACTTTTATTATCCCGAACTTTATCTATGCACGGCATACATAGATTGGGTTTCTTCTTGAACATACAATAAATTTACTAGTGAACAATTCGTTCACTGAAAATATATTTTCATATCTTTTTCATTGATTCATAAAGAATTAATCATCCGAAGACTATCGTAAAAATATTTTAGAAATTTGTAAGGGACACCTGACCACCTGTCATACATAGGCGTTCACATGAAAGAGTTGTCTGTTTCTTTTGACATGCAACGAGGTTGCATGCAAAGAAAGCTTAAGTTCATAAACTCAATATAATGTCTATCAGATTACGGGATAAATAAATTTCACACATTATGGATAAAGGCAGCTACATTGTTTTAACCATCCCCATTGTCGTGCGATTTACCGCTATGCTAAATTATTTGTGAAATCTTGGCCGACAATTTCTTTATTTATAAAATGGCTACTTAAAAATGGTAGACGATACAATGTTAAAAAAATATTTATAAAAGATGTACAGTATCTTTATGATACATGTATAACAAGTAATATCGACTAATAACAAATAAACCGGTAATTCATGAATACACGAAACTACTGATTTCCCTCATTGATGCCTAAATAGGGGGCGGTGCGTAATCAATAATTAACAGGCTACGCACGTAGCGGATATAAATGGTATAGGTATCGTTTTAAAACGTTTAAAAACATAGTTTCTGGACTAACTGCTTGCAAAATTAAATCACGAATGTATTCAGAAAAGGTTAATAAATCTACTTAGCAAAATCTCATTTTAGGTATTTTAGTGATAATTGACTCCGTTCTCACCTTAACCGATATACATACTTATGATTGCTGTCAAGCAAATCTTATTGTGTTTTTAATGGAAAATTATGTAACTTATTGTTTCAGTTACTTTACATACATAAATTGCGAATTGTTTAAAGGATTTTTTTGTTTTTTGTAAAGACATGTTAATTGGTAGATTTTTTTTGGTTTCTATTCAATTGATGATTGCCATAATGCATAGATCTCTGACCTATCAAATTCATTTTATCAGATAAGTGGTTAAATCTATTGTTATTCAAATAAAATATCAGAGTAAGAATATATCAATGCAGTTAAGTCTAGTGAATTTGGTGGTGAAGGTCATATTTCACACAGCCTAAATTATCTGACTGTACATCAAAGGACAACACAGTAAGGCACAGCATCAAAATCTAGTTCATCTGATATCAAAGTTCAAATTTACAACTAAAACTGTGCACATGGTCAAAATGTCATTGCTGTTAACTGTCCGCTTGGGAAAGGCAAAATTTTGACCCAAGGGTTGAATTAAAAAACATTGAATCTTGATACAGGTCCACCAAACAACGTTTCATGTCAAATATCTAAGCGGTAGCTTTCTCCAATTCAGAAAACATTTGTTTTAGTTTCTGTTTTTAATATGTGTACAAGAATCAATGCCCCGGGACACCAGGGGAAAAATTTGAAAAAAATAGAAGAGGACCTATAGATGATATTATATAGCAAACGTCAAAGCTCTAAGCCTTGTACCTTCAGACAAGAAGTTTTTTTAAAATATTTTACTATATGTACATAGTGAAAATCAATGACCCCCGACCAATACTGACCCCAGGCCTATAATTTTAACAAACTTGGTAGAGGTTCACTACGAAAAGTCTCATGCCAAATATTTAACCTCTAGCCTTTGTCAATTCAGAGAAAAAGATTTTTCAAGTTTTTACTATATACATATAAGGAAAACCTATGACCCCGGGCGGGACTAATTTAGACACTTGTGGCAAAATTTGAACAACTTTGGTAGAGGACACATAGATGATATAATATACCAAATGTCAAAGCTCTAAGCCTTGTACCTTCAGACAATAAGATTTTTTTTATTTACTATATGTACATAGTGAAAATCAATGACCCCCTGGGCGGGGCCAATTTTGACCCCAGGGCTTTAATTTGAACAATCTTGCTAGTGGTTCACCATACAGTGTTTCATGCAAAATATCTAACCTCTAGCATTTGTCAGTTTCAAAGAGATAACTTTTTACAGTTTTTACTATATGCATATAAGGAATACTATGACCCCCGGGGCGGGGCTAATTTTAACACTAGAAGCAAATTTTGAACAACTTTGGTAGAATACCTGTATCATATACCAAAGATCAAACCTCTAAGCCTTGTACCTCCAGACAAGAAGGTATTTTAAGTTTTTACTTTATGTACATAAAGTAAAAACCAATGACCCCCGGGGCGGGGCCACTTTTGACCCCCAGGGCTATAATTTGAACAATCTTGATAGAGCTCTACCAGACAATGCCTTATGCAAAATGTCTAAGCTCTAGGCCTTTTAGGTCTTTAAAAGAAGATTTTTTAAATTTATTCTTATAATTCTTTTTTGTTGCAATGGCAACCAGATTTCTGCATGGAATAAAATTCTTTGAACAACTTTGAAAGCCCTTCAGCCAAGGATCAATCCTGCCAAGTTAGGTTGAAATTGGAAAAATGGTTTTTCACAAGAAGATTTTTAAGTTCACTATATAATCTATAGAACACACAAACACACACACACACACACAGGTGAATCGCTATACGCCACCGCATCGCAGATACGCACACACACACACACACCAACACACACACATCAACACGCACCATCGCACGCACCAACACACACGCACACACACACACACACACACAGGTGAATCGCTATATGGCAAAATATGCGACTAAACAACATTTATAAATTAAATGTAAATTTAAACAGCCGATGACATTTCTATAGTTTGCTATTAATATGTTGAAACGTTTAATCTTCACAAAATTTTGTTCATGATAATATATGTTCTATTTTTTACATAATTATCCCTCAATTGGAAATAGAAATTGATTCGGACAAAAGTGTTATCAATATGACTGAACGGAAATTGCCTGGGGTAAATTGCTCTGATGGATCTTCAATACCTACAGTAAATTGGTGTGACAGGAATTTTGACTGTTTCGACTACACGGATGAACTGTCTTGTCAAACTTCTACGAAAGGTTTATACCGGTTCAGCATAATATAAACAGTTTTTAACTAATTCAGTTTAATTTAGACTAGTGTTTATCCTGTTTTGTAAGTAAAAATCAATACGTAAAATGAATTGGTTGCAGGAGATGAAACAGTTGAGCAAAACAGTTACTACCTAATATTAAGAAATATCTAGATTGATGAAGGACATTTTATTTTGGTTGAATTGACCAGTTATGATATTTTTGTCTATTTCGTTCAACATTTTCATTTTTATTATAACATGGCGACAGTTTCTGTAAATACGAGAATGGATTAATATGCAATGCAATCTGGTCAATAAATTTAACAAAAAATACTTTTATGACTATATTAATACTTTGAAATAATTTCTTACAGAAATATGAAATTTTAGACGCTAAAATCAATTTTAAATGCTTTAACATAATAGTCTTCTTTAGGATTGCCTTTTAACAACTCAATAATGGCTGATCCAAGGCAATTTGTACTTTTGTAGCGAAAAGATGTTTGAGAAACTTAATTGAGAATACGGTTGATTTTTAAAGACAATCACTCGTAAAAATCGTGCTTGTGTGTGCGCGACCGTTGTCTTGAAGAAAGAACAGGCCTTTCATACAAGTCGAAGAAGAACGTTTTTTTTTCAATTTTCTTTACATAATATCTTATTAATTCTTGGATGTGGCAGAATAGCGTCTAGTAACTAGAATGTAGACAACAGTTCAACGGGTATATAAATATTAAAAACAATAACTTACATAACTTTCCTGGTACTTGCAATGCATGATCAACAAAAATTTTCGCGGCTGAAATCTCGTTGTTACGCTTGCGAACTGACGTGAAAACGGCTTTCTTCACCCGTCACGATATTAGAAAAACGGCAATATTTTCAGTAATATTCAAGTTCTTTAAACTCGCTCATTCTTTTGGTCAGACTTTAGCAATTGGGTTATCAATATGGCCGTTATTCGCCTATCGAAACGTATAAATTGGTCCACTTTCATATCCCTGCGGTAAGGGTTTTTTTGAAAGTGAAATACTGGTATCTTTGTCAATGATAATGATAAGATTGGCTTTATGATTTTATTTTCAGTAGCTATAATAATATTTTTTTATCGACTTGCAGGCATCTTAAACTGACTCGTGCTCATTTTTGAATTTACGCATCACCCTCGAAACACTTGTTTTAAATGCTTCATTTTTGCCGTAATATTACAAATATCGTCATAAAATTTAGCCGATTTTTGTAGTTTTGCTCGAGCTTTTCTGTAACTTCAGCACTTTTAATTGTTTACCAGTCATACTTTAAATACTCGTTTAAGATATTGATAATGCGAATAAAATTCTTAATCGGTTTACTTATAAATGGATTTTTGACTCATTTGAAACCAGATGCTTTGAAAAAAAGAAACACAAGAATCACAATCTAAATCATAAAATATACTTCAATATTGCATTTTATATTGAGCCACCCTCGTAAATTGTTACATTTTTGTTGAGTATAAATGAAAGGAAAATCAGTTTATACACATAAAGACAAAAGAAACCTTACAGCGTGTTTGCCTCTTTTCTTGGCGGGATTCATAATACTTTTCATATTATATTGTTGATAGATCACAATCTTACCAGTATTGGCAGTACAATGATACAGTCTAATTTACCACAAAGACTGCAAGCCAGGGCATTCTTCGTCTGTGTAAAAAGCCAGGAGTGGATATCTATGTTAGCTAAATGTGATGGTGTCATTGATTGCCTTGATGCTTCGGATGAAGTCAATTGTTCTAACAGCAGTATTGGTATTTTGTTTTTTAAACGAAATTAATGAACTCATCTAAAATCCGCCTCTGAAAACTGTCGAATCTGTTATCAAGGTGTCGCTGGTTTAAAACTGACCATGCAATTTTGTTACGGACATTTTTAAAGTACGCGGTCACTAGTGTGAAAATCTTTATTACTTTTTTCACTTTTTATCTAGGAAAATTGATCAGTTTGACCAACCGCCATAACGAAAGCAAAATGAATTGAAAACGGGTAAGAAACAAACAAACACAAGAAACTTCAATGTTAGCATCATTTGTGTATTTTACATTTTCTGAGAATAATACAAATAAGGAATTAATTTACATTAAAATATTTTTCCGGAAATATACGCAACTCATGAAGAGCTTAATAAAATTCAACGGATAAAAAGTCCCTTTTATATGGGTGACAAATACAATGCCAGATATGGGTTTGTCGAATGAATTTTTTTTTTGCATTACGTTGTGTTTGGAAAAGAAAACTGGCTACTGAAAGCGTTGTTAAGGCAGATGTATTCATCCGTCTTCTTGAAAGTTATATTTCTATTTGTGGCATAACTTGTAAAGTGGCAGTACAATGAATATCTTTCTCTTTTAAAAGCTATCTGTATATGAAAAAAGGAGAACTACATACCTTATAAAGCTACCACAACATAAAAAATTTCCGTTTTTACGAACATATTCTTAGACAGATAAATTACTTTTTGTTTTATGATTAAACTGCTGTTTAGAAAGTTATTTTTTAAGAAAGTGAATTGTTCGATTTGATACAACACATATCTCGGTAGTCGGAGAACAATACGAGAAATTTACAGTATATTTGAATGTTTGTTTTGTTTACAACCTTGTTTTATGTGTGCAGCATGCGATGACAACACATTCTCATGTGATGGCGGAAATTGTATAAAATTAAGTCAAGTATGCGACTTTATACAGGACTGCACGGATGGAACGGATGAATTGTGTGGTAAGCAGTTTATTTAAATGGTTAGAAGGGTAATCAAATACAATAACAAATAATTTAAAAGATAATTAAATATATCGTAATGCATGTTATATTTCTGTTCGTTTTCCAACGTGAAAGTTTGTTTTCCTGATATTAGAAATAAATATAATACATGTAATAGAGACCTCTGTTGATTTTCCTTATTTTGATAGTTTTAACGCATACGGCCGTACACATGTCATTCATGAGCGTAAATTCAACACTATAACGAAAATAAATATCGTAAATACATACATTATATCACATTTGAGACCTTCTATTTTATGAAAACGTTATAAACTTTGTATATTTCTGTACCTATACGTGTATAAATGTTAAGATCGGAGCCAGGCTACAATGACTTGGTTCCTGCATGTTTCATTTTTTACGCATATTAAGTTTTTTTCCGCATATTTGAAGAATACCAAGTGTGTGATGAGAACGAATTTTGTTGTGAAAATAAACGATGTATTTCGTCAGAGAAACGATGTAATGCTAAAACTGACTGTTCCGATAAAAGCGATGAACTTGATTGCGGTATGTATATGAAATTGTTTTACAATATAAATTATTAATTATGATGACAGTTATTATTGTCAAGACAAACGGGTATTATCGACAAACGGGTATTTATATTTAATGTCGGTTTTATATGTGCCTGTTTAAACAGTATGTTTATTAATCAGATAGATTTTCAATTGATAAAAAATATTGCTTAAATTATTATAATACAAAAAGCTTTATTAAAGCAAAAGTAAAAGAAAACAGCCACAGATATTATGATAAAGTCAAATAAGCGTATTTTACATTCACACGATGATAAAAGGTGGCTCCAATTGTAATGCCTCAACCCTTAAAGACAAACTCGCAGTCACAAAGGGATCATAATAATCATTTGATATCTTACATCAAAGATTCCTGTAAAGAATCATTTCTCTGTGCTGATGATTACAAATGTATTCCTCATCGACTGACATGTGATGGCTACCCTGACTGTAGGGATAGAAATGATGAATTGTCTTGCTACGTTACGCCTCCATTTTCTGGTGATTTCAAGAACAAATATATATCGGCAGGAGAACAAAAGCTTCAATTCTATAATCTAGGTGAGCCAAATTCTTAGATAAAGTTATTGTTCTCTTCAAATTCCACTTAAATTAGTTTCCAGAACAAAACTGACGACAGTTAGTGTAGATTATGCGTGTACGATGTGTATCAAAAGTATGACAACAATTTCCTTTATAAATAGTAACGCGCTGTATTTGTTAAGATGCCTAGTCAATATTTATTCTATTGATACATTTGTTTTATTTATCTATTATAATCAAAATGCCGATGTTCTTTAATAGGAACAGCAAACGAAATTGAGTTCTTTTCCCAGGTTCCTAGGGAGTAATAGCAAAATATCTGTTGCATGATGGAAACTTCATTTCTTTAAAGTCTGACAGAAAGGTTTTCCCTTTTTTTATAATATAATTTCATTTAATGGTATCTCTTATAATTTTGTTGTACAGTAAGAATTATTAACGTATATCTCAAGAGATAGTCATTTTATATTTAACACAGTTTTATTGTTGCTGTTTTTTTTAGTCCGAATGTTGTGATATTTGCAAACCACTTTGATTCACGTTCAAATGAATTAAAATAATTCTGCTTCACTTTAACAAAAGCTGCATACAATTTATTATTGTTAATATGTGTGCATTTTTGTTTTGCACAGATGAATGGTTTAAATCCTTTGTAGTTTTTTATGTAAAAATAAAACATCAGTTATTAATTTCAAACCATGTTTAGTACAAATTGGTTTTGTATATTTCCTTTTAGATATGTAAAGCAAAGACTATACATCATATGTTTGCCATAAATAAATCAGAAAAAGGACAGTGCCTCTTCAAGTTAAAATGAGAGGGGAAATGCTCTTAACAAAGCTATTGCCTTAAATCTTAGTATTATATTCAACGTATCACTTACTTTATTTGAACTGTGTCACGCATGCCACTTTTCACAAACCACCTTTACGGCTAAACCAAATGCACAATTTCATTGTTTTACAAAATATCAAATGTAAAAAAGTTCAGGAAATAATTCATTTCCATTGACTTTTAAAAGAAAATATTGAATGATTCCAAAAAAACAGGATTTCTCTAACTCCAATACGACCATTGACGAAAAATAGCAACAGATATGATGGAGAACTATATTCATTTCCAAAACATTTTAATAACTTCTTATCCGAGGTATTTTAAAAAGTTAATGTATACTTCAGCGTCAACAATTATTGAGATGTCTAGTTTCAGATTATTGTCTTATCTGTCTTATCCAGGAACTATATTTTAAAGTTTGGATTTTGAATTTTGAAAGATAGCAAATAAATGGGTTAATAACATAGTTACAGTAAAACCTAACAGTATTATTTCTTTTAAATGACTCCCTGTCCAGTTGAGTAACAGCTTCTTTCTTCCCTTTAATATTTCTATTACGTTGTCATCATAATTGTTAGTAACCAATTTTCATGTTCTAAATTAATTGTATATGAGTCCTACCAATGAAGATTTATACATCTGGTACACATTGTAGTAAAGATGTTAAGGGGAACACACGTTTATTTCCATTTAAGTCCATTTATTTGTTATAAAAGAAATACAAAAAAGATATCTTGAAAATGCAACTTCTCGGCAAAACGGCCTGACTACTAACAGACTAAGCATGATTGCGCATTTCGGTCAAAGATATTCTTTTCATAATTATCACACTGTGTTTACACTTAAATCAATAAAGCAAACGTATAGTAAACCTTACAGAGACGCTAAGCTTACCGAGACGCTTACACAAATGATTTCAAAGGTTTTGGGCAAAAATATATTGGTTTATCCTCGGTAACTTAGGGAACTTACCATATACCAGTTATGGTAATAAATTGGTTATAATATATATAAAGGACTGTTAACCGTGGGTTTCGACGTTGATAATGTTTATTCTCGGCATGATTGACGTTTTTTAAATGCCCGAAAGAAGTACGGACATATTATGTTATACCCCATAGTATGTTATACCCCTTGGCGTCCGTCTGTCCGTAAGCAATTCGGTACCGGAGCATAACTTAAGTTCAATTTTGCCCACAATATTCAAACTTCATAGGATGATTGTCCATATTGAGTAGAAGACCCCTATTGATTTTTGGGTCACAAGGTCAATGTAACTATAACCTTAAAACTGAAAACAGTTGCTGCTCTATTACTTTAGTATAATTCACCCTACGGCTGTAAAATTTTATAAGATGAACAGCCGTGTCCAATACATGACCCCTATTGATTTTAGGGTCATAAAGTCAAAGGTCAGGGTCACAATTATCTTTACACTGAAAATTTTGGTTTCTGGAGCGTACCTTAAGTTCCTTTGGCCCACATTGTTCAAACTTCATAGGATGATTGTTAATATTGAGTAGCAGACCCCTATTATTTTTGGGTTACAATATCAAAGGTCAAGGTCACTATTTCTTAAGACTGAAAACAATTTTCGCTCAATAACTGAAGTATTAATCAACTTACACCTTTTAAGTCTATAGGCTGAATAGTCATGTCCAATACATGACTCCTATTGATATTTTGGTTATAAGGTCAAATGTCAGGGTCACAATTACCTTAACACTGAAATTGTGGTTTTTGGAGCATAACACAAGTTCCATTTGGCTGACAGTGTTAAAATTTTATAGGATGATTGCCTTTATTGAAAAAAAGATCCATATCTATTTTCGGATTACAAAGTCAGTATCAAGTGACCTTAATATTGTTAACAGTTTTACAACTGTCACACTTCATAGGATGATCACTTATATTGAGTACATTTATAAAATGCTCTAAAGATTTGATTATATTATGTTATACCACTGGCGTCTTTCGTCCATCCGTCGTAGCACTTTAACTTACAAGACAACAACTTGATGGTGGTACATTGACAAACAGCAACTGTATATATATGAAAGTTCTTTAGCTATAATGAGGATTGCTTTTTACGGAAGTTTTATTTTAATATGTTTATGTATCAGTTTCTTTAATTTGTGTATGCATTGTATTTCCTACATAAATGTGTACAATGGAAGATGGCTGCTTTACGGAAGTTACAATTTTGTTGTTGTTTATTCATTCAAGACTAACACTTTTCGGGCATATAATGCTCCGCCTAGCGGTGCTCTTGTCATACATATGTAAGTTAATCAACACAATGATTTATTACAAATACAACGAGTGGCATGCCATACAAAACGTAAGGGAAGTATATATACAATATTGGCATGTGTCGTTCGTATTATGTCCTGTAACACATACTCTACGCGTTTCGCTACTTGAGGAAGAAGTGCAGTGTCAAAGAATTCAACTTAATACCTTGCTATATGTATAAATTATCAGCAAAGCAAGCAAAGCAATGTTAATCCTCCTTGATAATAGTTAATAATGCTTGTTTGGACAAGAACATGAATTTTCAATGTGTATCGGAAAAAACAACATTTCAAACAATGATACAGGCTAACGTGAGGAAGTTCAGTTGTTCAGAACTATATCTATATATTTTCTTTTTGTACTGCTTACATTTGAATTTGTTCCCTTGTTATTACCTAAAATGTTAAAAAGTCCAGAGTATAACTTATAGACTCCGAATTTTATCACATGTCACATCAATAAAGCGCAGCCAGCATGTGGTAGGGAATGCATTGTCAAATAATCTCAATGCTTGAATTTCTACATTTATAATTTATAAAAAGAATATGATTTTTCATCACCTATCTTTTATAGAGTAGTGTGCTTTTGAACACTTTGGCTTGTAGGAAAATATTTTATTAGAAAAATGATTTTCAGACACTTCCACACACATTATTTCAATCTAAAAGAAGTAACTATAAGGATTTTTTCCTTCTAAAATATTTCGTCTTTGAGAGCCATTGAACTGTTTTTGGTGCTGCATGTTAAGAAAACATCAATTGAACAGATCATGATCATGATAAACAGCTCCTAAATACTGATGCGCTATAGCCAATCAAAGGGTTCTGGCATTTCCTATTTTAATTCAAATAAGTGTCTAATTAAACCGTTTGGAAACCAAATATATGTGTACAAACAAATTGCAACAACCATGCATTTTGAGTAGCTAACCTCGAAACAACGTCACTAAACGTAACAAAAAACTTTCAACATGTAGTAAATTTGAAAGCTATGCTTACCGCTGATGATTTTTCTATCGCAAAAATAAATGTAAGATCTGATCATGAGTAAGATTGACAATGTCTAAGTAATAACGTAACTATGCATAATTTATGTTTAACATTCACTTTCCCATTTAGATAGTATTTGGAAGCTCACGTCAATAGGATACGAATCTGGAAGAATCACCTTTTCGAGTAACTCGATATATCTTCCTGAAAACAAATTTTTAGACTCAGGTTATTCTTGTTTTATTAAGGTTAGTTCAAGTTTGCAATTATTTGTTCATTTACTGTTGTCTACACGTTTGTAACAAAATGCAAGAATACAGGAATAACAGTCAAAAGGCACACTTGAATCTTTCTTAAAATCCCTTTACAAATCAATTCAGCTTACCAAACTAAAACAGAAGTGTTGAAAACAGTATTAAACTGAATTTCAAAAAATCTTGTACAAGAGCCGTTAACAATTTTCTTTCAAACTCCATATTGATGATAAAAATAATAATAATTATATTTGATACGAAATGTTTTTTTGCATCATGCACGTAAAAACGTATGTAAGGCATTTTAGATAAAAAGAATAACCATATAACATTTACCTTGTTGTACTATTTTGTTTCACAGTCATTGTGATATTTTGATCGCAGGTAAAAACAGATTGTAGGTTTAAATTTCGAGAAGCTGCCCTTATAGACAATGTTGACAGTAATGACTTTGCGTATCCGTTCTGTGACTGCACAATAGGTACATTCAAAAAATACAGAGATCAAGTGTACAGGTATGCGTTCAAAAACATTATTTTTCACCCAAACATCGTAAAACTTGATATTTTGAAAATTGAAATTTACCTTAGAGCTATTGAATTATTATTAATGTAATGCTTTATCTGTTTGCTGATAAAAATAGTTTAAACATTTCTGGTTGAAGGAAATAAATTAAACATATGTGTCATATTAATTAAGAAAAACAGATGATACTACAGGACATTAGCATTGTGCTTATATACTCTCATCTGAGCGATAAGCATTGATCATTTAAAAGCGCTCACTTTATTATATTTTATAAATTTCTATAAATTAAATAATGTGTAGACGAACCATAGACATTTTCAGATATGTAAATAACATAATTTTCTCTTTTAAAGCCCACAATTATAAACGTTAGTCTTTTAATTTTTATTTTCGTTACATTTCGTACGTTGCGAACAGGAACCCCAGATTAAAAGAGATCATGTGTAATTTGTTCAAGACACTTTCATGATCTGATCTCAAATCTTTTACGTCTACATGAGCAAAGACTGAATTGAAACATACTCTTGGTCAGAGAGTAAAAACCAAAATGTTATGATATAAAGAATGAAGAATAATATTGTAACATAAATTCCAGATTTGATTTGGTTTCTGTGTCAAGATGCGATGGAAGTGAAATAACAGACTTACGTGCTGTTAAAGAAAGTATTTATTCTAAAATAAATGGAGTTTTTGATTTGTATTCTCTTTGGACAAGTGCTTTCTTGCACCGAACATATATACCACCGTATTGCACTAACGGTAAGGAAACCTTATTAAACCTTAAGGAAATTGGTGATGTGTTTGATATTCACGCCGGTGTAAATTCTGTTGCCCTTTTATCACAACTCATCATTTATTTAAATCATTTAACCTGGTACTAAAGTCCAGTTAAATATTTGTTTGTTCTTGTTTATAGTATATGTTAAATTTTATCCAACACATAAACTCCATTATGGAGCCAACATATTACGGACGAAACTAATCATAGCGAAGCATATTGTACAAACTTGTAAATAATTATATACCGGTATATTATATATATAATTTTCTGTGCGTATTATATTTAAATAAGTTTCTCTGTTCAAGATATTTTTATTGGTAAAATATCATGGAAAAGGACGAACCGCAATTAAGGTTTTATACCTATTACTAAAATGAAACGCGATATGAAAAAGGCTCAGCTGTGAACTTGGCAAGTGCTGCTGAGCGGCCTCGTATTTCCTTGGATAGCGACTGTTCCTCCAATAATGAACAGAACCTGGTCAATTCATATTTGGATACTTGCAAGGAGCAAGAGGGCGATAGATCAGAATGTTGTTGTAATGACGACCATTTTCTCGGTAGCAGGGTGAAAGTTGATTAACTGTCACCGGAACTTGTCTCCACTGACAAACAAAGTTTTAAAGTCACGGCAATATGAGAAAACATCTTAAGGTTTAACGACAAAACACAAAAGACCGAAAACTGTAAGAAACCACCAGATACCAACAGTTCACGGGCAATTGTAGAGACAACTCATGCGAGATACGAAATCGTTTTATTTCACTATGCAGCGATCACAATTTTCTCTTTGTCATACTATATTTCCAGTTCTCAAAATGATGGAACTTTTCAAAAAAAAAACAAATGTTATAATGTGTAAACGGAGATGACTGGTGACGCGTAAGGTATTCTAAATAAAACGTGACATACTGCCGTCATACCGACCACTATGCACAACTTGTCATCAGCGACTTTATTGTTTCATAGGATCCGAGATGATATAACTTCATTGAATGATTGCAACCGAAACTAACGTCAAATGAAATAAACAAGAATCCTTTTTTGTTCAATAGTGGCGCAAAACAGATCGTTGAAGAATCGGGGTGGCTTCAATCAATTTTGAAACCAACTGTCAATGAAAAAGGAAATAAAATCATGAAAGATTATGCTAGCACTGAAAAAACAGTGTTGATTTTCATTCACTTGGGAAAAACGGCAGAAAGAGTATCAATGTGGGAAACTTTTACGTCAGATAAATGGATTTTAAACATACTAAAAGCTGTACAATTGAAGTGTTTCGGATACCTAGGCAACTGCATATTTCTACTCCGTTTTCCTTAACAGCAGACGAGAATGCACAACTATAAACGGTAATAAATTCGTAGAAAAATGTTATCATTGAAAAAAGTACCTTTTTCGTGCTGTACAATATCGAAAAAATGATGATCCGGTTTTCTCTAATCTTAGGTCAATTGTTCACACGAGCGCATACTTCATTAATGAATCATGGCTTCATGATGATATGTATTATTCGTGTTTAGAAAATGTCCTGTCGCTTTTGCCTTGTTGATTTTTATTTTCGTTTTTATTTCCGGAAATCTTTCAACTTCTGTTCTTTAGCCATGTAATACAATGGTTGTCTTAGGGGTTATCTTGTGTAGTGTTTCAATGCCGGTTCGATAAACAACAGATAAAGTTAATTGCATTGATATCTTACACACTTAACGTACGCCAATACGCAAATTCGCAAAATCTCATTTGAAAATTGAATGCCAAGAGACATGGACAATGGAGTGCAATGTTCAGTTATCGACATCAAACCACCGAAAAAGACCATTACATGAAACGTAACTGGGGAACTTTGACAGTTTTATGACAGTTCTAAATACAATTAAAACTACATTTCAATGAGGGATTACAATTCTATAGGACAGCTTCAAGACAATTATAATTAAAGGACCTGATACAATAATCTATACCGACTTTTCGGAAACATTATGTTGGTCAATCGTAGAAAAATAATTGCACATTAATATTCTTGAATTAAGATCATGCAAAATTGGTAAAAACACGTTCTGTAAACATTTAACCAATGAACATGTCAGAATTGACTCTGACAATAGTACAAACTGGGCGTACATTAACAATTATGGGGAAAACTTGACATTATAGATCGCATAATTCGACATCTGTAGTTTTGATGCATCCGAAGAAAAATACATAATATCTCGGAATGTCATACTGCAGGAGTTTCAATGTACATACTGATAAATTGAGAAGATCGGACAAAAATGGCAGAACAGATGCATAGATCAATTAATTTTTCAATTTATTTTTTTAAATATTTCCCGAATATGATAAAAGATTTATTCGCTTCTAAGCTAAATGAAAAAAATTAAAAATTTGAAAAGTGTCTAGATATCCTAACCTAGATGCTTGGGCTACATATGCTTTTTCATGTAAATGGTGTTTATGTCTTTTGCTCATTTGATTAGCTTTACTTTGGAAACTATTACAAAGTTTTACAAAATATTACAAAAATAGAAGATTCACAAAAGCGATAATATAGTTCCAGTATTGCCGCCGCATTTATTGTTGTCAATTTTTATATCGCTAACCAAAGCCACAAAATGTGCTAAAATAAGAAGATTTATAAGGAAAACCGTATCCTCCTACAAAAAAAGGATGAGTGCGTTTAATATATTCGGAACACAGGCACCACCTCAAGACGCACAAGCCCTTTTCATCAACTCTTTGAGTGGCGGCACGCGTAAGCGTAAGCACTTTAATACATACGCATATAATACACAACGGTTATTATTTGCAAGGAACAACGAAATCCTCTTAAACCATCTAACAGCATGGTAATAAAGATTCTCGTCGATTTGTATCAACGAGGTAAGTTACGCGGCTCTTAGTACTGCTCGTTCAGAAATAAACATTTTCGTAACAATAACGGGAAAACATTCATAACAATGAGATCAAGAAAGGAATTTTAAATCTAAGGCCACCATATCCGAGCTATAAAACAACACATACGACGCTTAATCATTCTGTCCCGGTGGATAAAACTGACAATGCTTAGATCAAGAATTCCATGCATAGAACTATTCGGAAAAGAAATGTTTTTGACAGGTGTCAAACAATATGCAGGGTAGAGTTGCTACATTTTATAACGAATTATTGATAAGTAAAAAGCTAATTCTTTTCAAAATAATGATCTAGAGAGCTAATGTAGGGATTAACTAAGAGACTAAAAGTATATGTTCATTATATGTATCACATTCAAACATGTTTATCACATGTTGGATATCAAAAAGATATTATTAACAAGAAACAACATGTTTCAAAATAAAACAAAATATATGCGTTATATTATATTTTGCTCACAATATATTTTAAGAAATGTGTAGTCTGAATAATATGTTGGGCCCGCCCATAAGTAAGTTTAGATGTTAAAAATTATAAAAATAAAATGATTGATTAAACGAAACTTACCTTTGGAAAAGGGAAGGCGAAGGTGGATCATAATTGTATCCGACAAAAAACTATCATAGAACTCATACACCAACCCACAACCATCCCGCACTTTATCAATATTGTGACATTATGTCGGACTCCTTAAAGTATAAATAAACCCAAGTCGTTTCTAGCTGCGGGAACTCTAAGGGTGTTTGGTGTATGCTAAAATTATTTTCAACCTTCGCCTTTCATTGTCTAAAGTAAAACCAGCTTAATCAATCAATTGCATAATGATCACCATATGATAGTCAACCGGTGGAAAAAATTAACGTATCTTTTATTCTTAACTCAACTGATTGTTTTCTCAAAAAGGGTACGTGGATTGTTTTATACGGGACTTGCGGCCCATTCATTCATTGACAAGCATGAAACTGTTTCATTCAAGGTTTAATAACTAAATATGCGTATTTTTCTTAATTTTAAATCATTAAACTATCGCCAAATTATGCATTAGCAGCTTAAAATGCCACTAGTTTAGTAAAATCATTTTTGATCTGTCTTTTAATAGCAAAGTCTGTTACATCAACCAGTTTTAACCCCATTACCAGAATTCAAGTTATAACTTTATTATTTTTAAATAATATTATATTTTGAATAATATTTTCGTTTTAATAAATGCTTTTTGTTTAGAGTACAATGCGACCGTCTTTGGTGAGTTCTTTAATTGTGAAAAAGACGGCAAAGCAATATCAGAGTCGTTGGTGTGTATTTATGCCGAAGACGATAGCGGTTACATGACTGGCTGTAGATCTGGAGAACATTTACAAAATTGCGGTAGTGAAAACATTTATAAGTTATCAAATGTATTATTTCTTACTTTCATAATTGTAATGTCTGTTTCGTGTTATTGACATGTTTAATAAGATAATCTTTGTAGCTAACAAAATCTAGCAGAAATTTTCCTTGGTAATCATCTGGTTAATTATGCCTCCATTCGAAGAAAGGAGGGTATATTGGTTTCCATATGTGGGTTGTCCCTTGACCAAACGTTTCTGATAAATAACCTAAGGACGCCTAACCCTAGGAACTTCAAATGTGGGGTAGAAATCTTCGTATCGACGCCCTAATTTCGTCATGTCGTCGTGTCTTCACCTCAAAATGCAAAAGTCATCTCGGGGTGAAGGCACGACGATACGAAGACTCGATACATTAGGTTATTATCATGTCTACGACTGTCGGGGCAAAGACACGAATACACGAAGACTCTATCAATTTTCCACATCGCATTTTAAGGCGAAGACAAGACGACATGACAGATACAGGGCGCGATACCACGATTTCTACCTGCCAACATGACAATTTTACAAAAATAAAAAAAAAGATCTCGTGTCGTTGCCTGTTTAAATATTATTATTTTGCCTAAAATATATCGTGTCTTTGTGTTGGCGCCATTAAAAGTCGAAGGCAAAGACAATTGAGCATATTATAGTGTCCTTGTGTCTTCGATTATGACGTTTGTGGGGCAAGACACAAAATTGCAGAAATCAGTCACCATAGGTATGAAGATTTTTTATGACCATT